TCCTTGAAACCATCTTCACCCTGAACCGAGTCATTAACCATTGCTGAGTCCTAGCTTGATTGGACGAATCATGCGGCTCGTCCACTCCGAACATTCCTTTTCTCCCTCTCTCTCTCTCTCTCTTTTTTCCGTTTTTCTTGATCAATGAGGGGCCCAAACCCTGCTGGGAAAGGAATTTGCAATTGGTTCGTATGTTGGTAGAGCAATGCTACCGACATGCAAAAGGTAGGTTGTGCATAGCCTGTCGAAGAGGAGACATTTTAGCTTGTCACAGAGTCAGCCCTGCCTGGTCACAGAGCTAGTCTTTTCTTAGAGTCAACCCTCCGCTTGTTACAGAGTACGTAACCTTACCTTGTCAGCAAGTAAAAGCTTGAGCTTGTCACATACAGCCCTTGGCTTTTCACAGAGTTCGTCCTTCGCTTGTCTTAGAGTCAGCCTGTAGCCTGTCGCAGAGTCACCTTACCTTGTCGAGGAGTAACGAGCATGTTCTATCTCTAATTTTCCATCTCTATATCTAGGTCTGTAGTAGTAGCAGTAGTAGCAGGAGTAGCAGTAGTAGCAGTAGTAGCAGTAGTAGCAGTAGCAGTAGTAGCAGCAGCAGCAGCAGCAGTAGTAGTAGTAGTAATAGTAGTAGTAGTAGTAGTAATAGCAGGAGTAGGAGTAGGAGTAGGAGGAGGAGGAGTAGTGGTAGTGGTAGTGGTAGTGGTAGTGGTAGTGGTAGTGGTAGTGGTAGTGGTAGTGGTAGTGGTAGTGGTAGTGGTAGTGGTAGTGGTAGTGGTAGTAGTAGTAGTAGTAGTAGCAGTAGTAGTAGTAGTAGTTGTTGGCAGTGGCAGTGGCAAGCTCTTATTCCCTGGCGCGCTCCCCCTTGCGCAGCCGGGGTCGGCGGAAATGCTGCGCGATTTGGCTTCCTCAACAAGTTTGCCAGATGCAGAACTTATTTTTGGTTTCATGCGCGCATTTTAGTTTCAGAGGTGCGGAATGCCTGCACGGTGAACGTTGGCAGCGGCTATCAGCTAGACATGAGGGCCATTGGACGGCCGCAAATGATTTCAAAACCAATCCCTACATGTAGCACTCACATGGGGGAAACCGTTCGTTCCTGGGGCGAAACTTGATACAGACGTAGGAAACAGTTCGGAAATAAATCAGGACAATGCATGGATAGAGAAACACCGTTGTAGTGCACGGTTGATAGTATAAACCAGGTGGCATCCCATTGAAACCAAACTGCCGGAGGGCATCTAATTAAGTCTTTTTTCTACGACAATTTGCGTGGCGGGAAATAAAGTGCAGCGAAAACCCATGTGTTGAAACCTAACGTTCCTCATAAAAAAAAACAACTGATTTAATCATGGTCGATCATGATTTTTCGGAAAAGGCCATGATATTGTTAGGAATACCTCATTCTATCATATTCTATCCCATTTTCATGTCTGGTTGATCTTATGGCACCGTTTTTTGATTGGTACACCCCGCTTGAGGTGGACTTGGCAATCAATTCTCATCATTCCATCGAACATGCTGCTGGGCGGAATGGGCCAGGCCTAGGGCGGTTTTTTTTCGAGAGGCAGCCCCAAAAATCAGGGATTCTATGGGTTTCATGGGATTCCATACCCCCAAAAATCAGATTTAGTAACAACAGAAGGATATTCAGAACATCACAAACATTTGGAATCATTTGGATAATGAAATGAAGGCCCCCCCAGCCATTTTTGGATATATGGGTGGGGTATTTAAGCTTCCCTTGGCCCAAGGTCCGATGGTTCCACAATATTGGGGCCGTGCCACCGAACCCACCCACTGTGGCTCGGCTGCAGTTTCTGGTTTCTTGGGGCCGTGTGGATCTGATCTCGAACAATGCGGAAGTGGCACTGAATGCTGTGCTGTTCATTTTCAGGTGGCACAAGTGCCGGTGTTGACAGTGACATTGCGCTGCCTCAAGTGGTGGCTCAGGAGTCAAGGGTTGGCGCACCGGGAGAGGCATGAAACTATTGTGAAACAAACACACACACACACACGCAACCATTCTCTCAACGATTAAAAAAATAGAACCACATCGCATCATTTTTGGGAATCCTTATTGAATCATTTCTGTTATTTTAATTCTTGGGGACCCCAAAAAAAGAGTACCACAGGTACTCTCCAAGCGTTTGCAGGATGCGACGGATCCCGCGGATGAAAGATGGTGCACTGCCCACGGTGGTCTGGATGTTACTGGCTATGCATTCCTGCGCCGAACAGAGCGGTTACTTGGTGGAGTTCCACTGAGCAGGACCGTCCCATCATTTGGTTGTGTACCTCAACATACCCAACATCCAGTGGTGAATAATGTCCTTTCGAATCATTAGTAAAAACAGACACCGAATACGAATATTGAATATTGTATCGAATTAAGATTTGTGGGTAAACACAAGACGGTGCTCTCCAAAAATTGTTGGAAAACACCAAACCACATCAAACCACTGGTTCAGAATGTTTAGCATCATCATTTCACAATTGAAGTATCATCGCCATGAATTGGGGTATACGCCATTTCTCGGCAAATCCAAATGATTGACACCAAGAACAGGTATTTAATCGCAACTGGGCATAATTTATATAACCATTGCTGAGTAGGGATTTACCATCATTGAATGGGGACACAAAACTCAACAAAGGTGGCAAACTGACAGATTGCCAGAAACCTCCCTGATCTACATTCTTGACAAGTCGTTTGGGATTATTTGTTGTTTCGGTTTTATGATAAGATTACATAAGATTACCATGATTTCGGTACGCGTGCCCGGCGTGCCCGTGCCTTGTTCCATAGGTTTTGGGCTGCATGACACCACTATGTGAGCACAACTAGACCTCTTTGGGTTCAATTCAAAACCCGACAAATTTTGTGGGTCCCTTCGTTTTGCAGTGATGGAGACTGAGACTCGTTGTCTCCAGCCATGAAACTTCGTCTTCAAGGCACCTGTGAAGGGCTGCCCTCAAATCTGATACCAACTGCAAACAAGGTAGCTTTTCGCCCGAAGTCCTTGCGGAGAACCCCCTGTCAGTGGTTCTCGCACTGCTTAGTGCCTTGCGTCTTGAGGATTGCGGGGTCGGTTTTCCTAAGTGACTCACGTATGCCATCTGACAAGATTCCATTTGTTGCTCGGGGTTGTGTGTGTTTCAGATTGATGCAGCCTTTGAATCCAACTAAGTCTAAGTTTGACCTCTAACGAAACCAAGGCAGTCTCCACGTTAGTCACTGTCAGTTGGCTGATTAGAACTGGCCCCAGATCATCAACTTGCCGCTGAATCAGGGGAACTGTGTGAATGAAGACAAATTTGAAGGATGTTGAAGGTAATTGGGCGTGGGCTAAAAGGAATGGGGTACCACAGAACCTACCAAATTGGTCTACTTTAGGGTTATGCTCGTACCATCATTTTTTCGGGTTTCGGGGTTGATCATTTTGGCCCATGCAGCATGCCCAATTGAACAGCAGCAAGCTTTCCTGACTTTCCTGATGCCCTGTGAACCCCAGAACTTTGGACCTTTAAATTTAGATGTTGCTTTCCTGATGTCGGACGTCGTAAGCATGAGTTGACCCTTGGATGTTCTCAAAGCTTCAGTTGATGGGGCAATTTCTATCTCGGTGATGAACATCCATGACTACCGCAACCAGGTGCTTTCTTCCAAAGATACACCACGGTCAGCGGACTCGATGGCAAACTGAAGTATGAGCCGCCGGCCTGCAGCGGCTCCAATTTAAGGTTCGTTTCTGTGGCACAGAAAACATATCAACAGAATTTGTTCGGGGAGTTGAGTTAATTATGATTAATATCACTTGCCGGTCTGTGGACCTGGGGTTGGGCACACTGTTGGTTTATTCACAACCTGGGTTTGACCCAGACCTGTAAATGCCTATAGCATGAACCTCCCACACATGCCATCGGCTGAGGAAGGGAAGCGCCGTCTCAGACTTCCAACAACATTCCCGCCAGAAGCGACCCTGCCATGCTGACCTTATTGTGCTGGATCCAGAATCAGGCAGCCATCGATACAGCTGCAGCTTTTTTTTACACAGATCAGAATGGTGGGAATGGTGGCCAGGGCCAGGGTGAACCATTGACAGCTGTCAGGTGTGAACCTGGCACCGCCCATGTCGCCAGCCACCCACATCCTCCTGGTGCACGAAATGCTACGGGCGAGGTCAGCGGGTAAGATTTTCGGCTGCCGTGCTTTCCAGGCCTACAGGATTGATCTATTCTGGGAGACAAGATGAACGCGCAAATGACCCACACATGCATGTTCCCTCAAATTTACTAAGCATCTCCTTTTCTCCACCTCCATTTCTAATCATTTCTCCCTCTCTGTCTCTACCAGATATGGCTGCAGGTCACTCTTGAAGGATGCAATCTGCACAGGGCATTCTCAGGCTTTAGATGCGGCATTCCAGCCGGTGTCTCGTCGACAACTGTGCCGGCTGTCATACAGACTTCTGGAAATACGAGTTGGACATCAGGCATGGATGCCTCGTTGTTGACAAGTTTATGCCTTTAGGATGCCCTTGGGGAATTCTGCTTTCAGTTGGGACTTGTGCTATGACATCAGCGCTTCTCACCCAGGGCCACAGGCTATAATCCTGGCAGGCAAATGAAACGAAGTACAGCGATACAGCTGGCACCGACTTAGACCATTTCGGAATTTTGGGCATGTTGAGATTTTCAGTTTTAGGTTTGAATGGTTATTTTTGATCTAATCCATTCATACATGCATATGTGGGTACGAGTCATTCGTAGCACGTCAGCTATCGTCAGCTTAAATCTGGGGGACGGTAGCTTGGTACTTGAATCTTTTGCCATCAATGGTAACACAATGGTAACACAATGTAACATATCTATAATCATAAAACATTATGATTCTATATTATATATTATATTATATATTATATTATATATTATATATTATATTATATATTATATTATATATTATATTATATATTATATTATATATTATATTATATATTATATTATATATATTATATATATATATATACACATGTCACATGTTGACTCAGACGCTTCTCCAGCGCAGCTTCTAATTTGAGGTGCCCGAGTTTGAGAATTCGTTGCCCGCCTCGACAGAAAGTTTTGACGCATTGGTGCCCTGGCCCTGGCAATTCTTCGAGCTGGTTTTGATGGGGGTAATCCTTTTGAACCTGCATGCTGCATGCAGGAGCAAAATTTTGAAAAGACATTTTGACACATTTTACGGACTTGCATCTCTCTCTCTCTCTCTTGTGTTGATGTCCCTTTTCTTGACTTCTACAGCAATGAGCATCACCAGGAGCGTGTTCGAACCGCAAAGCATGTAGGGCTTTGAAGGTTTTTGTTACAGCGGACGGACCGCTTGTGTCTTGAGGTTTTTGTGAATGGGAATGGAGAGTGCTCGTGTACAGTGACTTGGTTGCTTCAAGCTGTTTTCTTTGAGGTGATGGTTGGTGATTTGTTGGATGCGGGGTATTTTTGGAACGCCCCCCCCCCCGGAAATGGATTGTCTAAAGTATAATAGAATACAATGAACATGCTTTTCACATTTTGGACCATTTCTTGACGATGCCTTTTGATCTTTGGAGTTTTTTTTTTTTTTTCTCCATGGCTTCAATTTAGGTGGAGCTCGCCCGCATTCACTGCATTCACAAGACGTTGCTTGGCGACGAGTTGTCTTACTGGTGCTAAATGTAGGGAATGGGCATGGGGAAATGACCCAATCCATCACTATTTTTGTGATATTTTCACAATCATCCCATTCCCCCATTCCCATCCATTCCCAATGTTTAGCAGAAGTATATAAGAAGGTTTTGGATGGTTTTCAGAAGTGGTTGAAGGAAGAACACGGAAGGAAGAAACCGTTTAGTTCGATGACTTTCTCATGTAAAACATGTGTGATGTGTGTATATATATATATAATTATATATACAGAGTTATATATGTATAATATATATATAACTACCATGTGTATGTAGGATTTTCCATAGCCATGTTTGACACCGGAGTTCCGTTGCGCCACTGAGTCCATGGTGGCAAGCGCCATTCCTGGCTCGCTGGGACATGCAAAGTCGGTTGGAGGTGACCGCGGAGATTTCGGGGGAAAATCCCATGAAAATATGGGAACACCTACCAAAATTCCATGGTTTATCGTGGTTTGTCACTGGTATTTGAATGTATTTGATCAGTATATGGCCATGGAGCGGGGGTTTGTTTTATTGAACCATGCTACTCCACTGCGGATCCCGGTGCAAAGAAACCCGTGATGCCAGTGGCATCAAGTGGCTAGCTCTGGTGTCGCAGTACAGGCATACCTCTTCCGCGAGCCTCCAACCTGTGTGGGCCAATGCCTCTTTCTTCAGACGCAGGCGCGCTGAGCCACCCTGAGGATTTCCCCGGGCGAGCACTCGCTTGTGCACTTATGATTTGCCTCGCTTGTGCACTTGCGATTCTCCTCGCTTGTGCACTTATGATTTTGTTGTCAATGCCATTCGGATGCAAGCCTCCTGTGCCATGGGGCACAGTAACGTGTTAGTTTTAGACATGCACGTCCTCTTTGGCACAACATTGTTAATGCAAAACATGTGGAACTGCGTTCCCCCCTGCCCCCCCCTTCCCCCCTGTTCCCCCCTCCCCCTTTTGTTCCCTATACATCCCCCCCCTCCCCCCCCTCCTCCCTGTTCCCTACACACCCCCCCTCACCCCTGTTCCCCCCTCCCCCCCTTGTTTCCTATACACCCCCCTCCCCCCCTCCCCCCTCCCCCCTCCCCCCGTTCCCTATACATCCCCCCCCTCCCCCCCTCCCCCCTGTTCCCTACACCCCCCCCCTCCCCCCTGTTCCCCCCCCTCCCCCCCCCCTCCCCCCTTGTTCAAGTAAGTGCGCAAGTGAGGGTAAGTGCGCAAGTGAGTGAAATCCTAAGTGCGCAAGTGAGGGCTTTGCCGATTTCCCCAGGGACCAATAACTGAAGTGAACATTTCAGAAAGGCAGGAAGAGAGAGATCCATTTTTTGGAACAGGGTATTTGATACGTCAGGATGCGGAAGCCATTTGTTATTTTGGGTTCCGCTATGCACAAGCCGTCCTAGACACATTTTGATACTTTTACCTGCAATTAATCCCGCCCAGTTGGCCTTACATGCTTCCTGATTCCTCCAACATGTCCAAACGTTTTGGTGACATATGTACACTGTATAATGTATATGTCCATTTGTATAGCTGTAAAATGCTGTATATATACATATATATATATTTTAAGGCAGGATTATTGTCCGCCTAGATATTTTCTTCAGGCTTCATGGATCTGAGCCGAGGCCATTACCTTGGCACCCTGGAATTTCATCTGCCGTTCCTTGGCGAAGAGCCAGGGGTCACCTTTGCTTACCAGAGCCAGGGTAGTTTACTATAGGTTACAACCACAGCTTTGAAGGGGATGAACTCACATGAGCCATTAACAATACCAATGGTTGATTGGTTGATTGGTTGGGACTTATACTACGCAATCCGTTGAAATTACCATTGGGGATGATGATAAGCTACAGTAGGGACACTTATCAACCAGTATAATGAGATGGGATAGCGGTATTTTTTTCATGCTTCACCTATTTTTGCAACCATACAATGATGTACAATGGGGCTGTTTGATATGAATAGGGGATGGGATTACAACCTCATTTATTGGGATGATGATAGCCCATAAGCAGGATACCTGTGAAGCCACCAGGTGTGGAAACGACCGGCGACGAACACGTTGGGCTGTCAATGACTGATGACGCTGCTTGGACGTATTGGATGAGGAAATGCCAAATGATTGGTCTGTTTTTTTGGGGCTCCTTCTTGAGCATCCCCAGTACATTGATGATCATGCGACGTGTGCTTTAATAGATTGCATCACCACATCCCATTTATTACATACACATGTAAGAAAATCCTCGTGACATTCTCCGCATCAGCGGCCAAAACTTCAGGCCTTGCATCGGATGAGGAGCATGCAGGCCTTGGCATTAGAGATGCAAAGCTGGGCATCTGTGAAAAGCAGATGAGGCGGCTTGGCCTCCATGTGGAGAGCAGCGCAGCTGGGATGGATGTTTGATGATGTTTGGATGTTTGGACCTGTTTCCTATGGCCTGATTTAGCCCGGCTGCCATTTATCCCAGGCACTGTGTGTAGTTGTTTTGGATGGAAAAAAATGGCACCTTTCAAGCTGCGATGTTTTGGACGGGATTGGATGAAAGGAAGTTACGACCAGTGCTTGGAAGGGATTCCAGCTGTGCGACCAGTCCGACTTTGTACATCTCTTTCTATCATTGTATAGTCAGTTCGGGCTTCATGGGACATTGAAATGTCCCCCGCTCAGACTGCCGCGTGATCTGTGCGTCTCAACAATGTATCAACGAGACTGCCGTGCATGATTGAATTGAGATGAAAATTTCTTGGAGTGCTTCTGTGCTCCTTCACTGCATTGTGGTTGAGTCAGAATGAAGATTCTGCACTTTCTTTGTAGTGAGTGCTTTGAAAGAGCCTTGGCTTCGCAATGCCAACGACTTGTGACTTGCACTGAGTACTGAGTACTGCTACCCTTGAATTCCTTCAGATCCTCGTTATTTTCATGAAGCCAACAGGGATGCTGGTGAGGCTACAGAGATCCGTTGATAGGCTGAGTCTCACGAGTAGATCAGGCTGTTGGAGAAACGGCTCATGGATTTTGGCACATGGAAATGGAAAACGAAAGATGATGAAAGGCAAATTTCAAACCCCAAAAATTCCATTGTTGATCATCATTTTTTTCTGATCAGAATGGCCATGGGCAATGGGTTTTTTTTTGACACATTTTGACACCATTTTCAGACACATCCATTCATCTCTTTTTTTTTTGCTGGAAAAGAAGTAAAAAGAAGTGTTTCATTTTTCAGCTTTCCTTGCGGTGCAAGGTGGCCGTCTGGGCTTCCGTGATTTGCACCATCGATTTCTGATGACCTTGGTTTTGAAGAAGGGAAGGGGCAAAAAAGTTCAAGAGTTTGTCTGAAAATAGCCTACCCCTAGATCCACTGGTAATGATCATTATCTCTATTAAATGACTGTAAGTTGTGGTTAATTTCTGACTTTTCACCCGCATCGACAGCAACTTTCCATTCCCATGTGTTGAACAGGACAGGAAGATCCTCGTGAGCTAAGCAGCAGTTGCAATGTTCCTGTTGTGATGCCACGTGGCCTTGAGGCTCTTTGCCTGAAACCTAAAAGAAGCCCAGCTCCATGGACTCCATGCAATGTACATACATATACCAACGTTGTATAGATATGTATTATCAGAGTGCTCAGTCAGCATCACTTGATCGGTGCTTCTTGCTTCACTGCAAGACATATTTCCTTCCCTACCAAATGCTACAAACCTCTGGTGCTGAAGTGTGGAAGACACCCAGCGTGGCAGGGCGGGTTTCGGCGGCAGCCCAAGCTGTATGCTATTAATTGGACGTTTCGAGCTGCAGACATCTTCGATGCATGATGTTTTTCACAGCCTCCACTCGCATGAATCAACGGCACCTGAGGACACACAAGAGTTGTCCCGTGCTTCTTTTTGAACGTGTAGCCTCCAGCATCAGAAGTTAAGAAGTTCAGAATGTTCTTTCTTGAACAACCAGGCAGCCTGGCGGTCAGGTGCTCCAGCAAGCCATCCCCAAGTCACCAAGCACTTGTTGAAAGAGCAACGACCGCAAGACATGTCAACCCCGCTGGCCGGCCGCAATGTGGCAATGTGTCCATGCCAGACAGGGCACCACTGGCGCCCAGAGGAGAGTCGTGCATGGGCTCTTTGAGACGAAATTTTCTGGCGAAGTGCCTGAGGTCTCAAACAGACCGCATGATATTTGTTGACTAAAACAGCCCAGGACGACCACCTGGTGGGCTTTGGATGGTTTGGCAGGTCTCTTTGGGCCCTGTAGTGCAAATAGTGAGAAACATACCAGCACAACCGGAATCATAAGTTTCATGCATTTTCATGCTATTGTGCAAGTGCGATAGGATTGATTCTTTTGGGTGACCTTTCGGCTCACGTCCGTATCCTTTTGCCCATGACTTGAAGGAGCTTTGGTCATGAAAATTGATTGGTGGTTGAAATCCCAAAATTCTTGGACTATCCAAGTATCATTTAGTTGCCACGAGCAAGCCGAATGACTGTCAACAAAGGCAAGCAGAGATGCAGAGACTCAGCCCAACGGGACACCAGATGTGCTTAGTCAGCTGACATGCCGTGCATCACATGCATAGGAAGTGTCCGAATGTGGGAAAACATCGGGAAACCATGCCGCAGAAAATCATGACTCTTAACTGTCCGGAACATCGGCTTTTCACGAAACATTCACAGCATTTTCCTGGGCCAAGTTGGACCGGGACCAGCCATGACTCGTGCGTGCCACGCATGGGCGCTGACGCTGTTGGCCCTGAGACTTGTCACAGCCGCCCAGGACGGCAGCGTGGCTCGGTCATGGGGGCGTAGTCGTGGTGGTGGTCTATAGAATCGTATATTGTCTTTATATATCCATTAATTTTAGTTTCTCATTATAATCATTATTGCCCGCTTCTTGTTGTTTATTTTTTCTTGTTTTCCCCCAACAGAGTAAGCTGGAGGCCTTCAGCCACAGTAAAGGGAACAGGTTGCCAGAAAAGGTTCCCAGAAAAGGTTCCCAAGATCAGGTTTTCAGGCAAGGTTCCCAGGCTTCGCAAGAACAAGTTTCCAAGAAGGTTCGAAGAACAGTTCCCCAAGCAAGGCGACAGAGAACAGGACATGCCATTATTTTCATAGCCATAACTTTGGCGTAAATTCCCAATCTTTTGACAAACCCAACTGTGTTTCAGAAATTCAATCCTGGGCTGTGCTGAAGTTTCATGAATTTCCTCTGTAGCTCACCGGGTCACCAAGGTCTTCACCCCCATTTTCCTTGAGCGCACCGAGGCGGTCTTGCCAAACATGGGCCCACATTTCGGGGGATACACAAAAGAGCAATGGATTGTGGATTCCCTGGTCCAATTTTGAGCACCCAAACGAGCAAGCTTTGTCCAATCATCCAATCGTCTCCAAAGGGGACCCAGCCAACCCAGTCACCAAGCCTCCAGGGGCAGTTACTCTACAGATTTTCCACATCCAAGCTGCAGAGTGTGAGATTGGGGACCATAAAACAACGGTAGCATTCAGTGACTGGCAATTTCCGCAGTTCAAATCATCCTGGTTTGGGGTTTTGCAAACCACGAAACATCCCACCATTTCGCCGTTTGCCACAGCTGGTGGATGACATCAATTCCTCCAGCAACCTGCTGCAAGTGATGGAGAGGTGAGGCTGTTGTCTACATTTGGGCTTGTTTCACTCTTTCATAGGGGATATTCAAAATGGCCAGTTAAATAAGACACCTTATGAACCTCCGGAATCGGGGACACCCTATTTTCAGACTGAAAAAACTATTTTGTGATAGATGAAACAACTCAAGTGTACATCAATTGTGCCTTGTCTGGAAACCATAGGAAAACAACCATCATTTTCCCAATTAATAGAGCCAGTTTTGGCCATCCCTCATTGCCGGACAAACGCTCATATCGTGTGTTTGATACATTTGAAACACTGTCTTTGCAATTAAGACGACAACGACAATGATTATGACGATGACGATGAAACATGACGACAGTGATGATGACGATGTCACAATGGTCATGAGGATGACGATGACGATGGCGACGATGGTGGTGATGATGTTGTTGTTGATGCTGGTGATGATCGATTGCCACTCGTGATCACCACTTTTATTCTTACCTGTCATCGGTGTTGCGATTATCACTGTTGAATACGGTCAACATTTCATTGTTATCATCATGTATGTCATGCTTGTCAGTTTTGTTGTCAGTTTTGTTGTCAGTTTTGTTGTAAATATCTAAAATCATATCATCATAATCCATCTCTGGTACGCACAGACTGCGGTGATATATGGAGGGCAGGATCAACAGATCCGGGGAGGCGGAGGTACCAGGTAGTCTAACTATTCTCATTGCTGACGCAAGTAGTGTCCGGCATTTTGCGCTACACCGGTTACACCGTCATATGAGTCATACCGGTATCAGCGTACCAGCGTACCAGCGTATCAGCGTATCAGGGTAACAGCGTAACACCACAACAGCGTATCAGCGTAGTACCCTTGCAAGGTTGTAACCTTTTCAGCTACTCAGCGTATCAGCGTCGAACCACGTCCGGACACGCATTGCCACCACTCTATTAACTTTTCTATTTTATGCCTTTGAACATCCACGTGTTAAAAAAGTTTGAATGTAGCGTTGAAGGGGTTGCTGTGACTGTCCACATGGGTTGCTGACCCTGAGCCGAGGTAAATGCAGAGAAGATTGGGACTGCCCGCTTGACAGTCATTCGTCAAGGTTCTTTTTTGGTCCTGGAACGGGGAAATACGGGGACAAATGCAAACTTGGGCCCAGAGAATTTGCACCCCATCCCGGAATCCCATTCTTGGGAACCCACAAGACAGCAGCGCGATATTCATAGACAGCGGGCTCCTGACAAGCTATTTACTCAGAGTGGCATACTGGGTCCAGACCAGCTGAGCATAGCTGAGCATAGCTGAGCATAGCTGAGCATAGCTGAGCATAGCTGCGCCAACTTTGAGATGCAGATCGATCCTGCCATTTTCGGCCGAACTGAGCCAACTGAACTTTTTGGCAAACAGAGAACCTGGCCACTGACTCCTCCCAAGGCCCTATGTGCGACAGAGGTCGGTTGCATTGCAAGGAGCTTTGGATCATGTTAGGTTTGAATTCCATATGATTCCATTTTCTTTTTCTGTCGAATCTGATTGGTACATTCAAATTGGCAGCCGATTTTCATCAGGTTTTCCGCCACCTTTTCTGCAGGACATCTGGGATTTTAATGCGTCGAAGGGAAACTGCACCTGTGATGGGTGTAGTATCCAGGTGCCCTGATGTTTTCACAGCAAAACAGTTGGAGCTTGCCCTCGTCCTCGCCATTGTATTTTAAAAGATTCGTCTCTATTTGCAATTTGACATTTTACACATGAAAGATGAGTAAACAACGTTTTGGGTCGTGTGTTTGCATTTGCACAGTACGTATGCTTGTGGCTTTCAGCTTTGAAGTCTGTGACTGGTTGGAACTCTGGTTGCGCTCAAGAGCAGGAAATTGTCAAAGACCCGGAAAGAAACAATGTCTCCGACTGTGTCTACGAGTGCAAGATCCGTCCTGACTGCAAGGGTTTTCAAGCGTCACTTGGCTTGTCAGTGTGTGGAAGGAACACTTGAGCACGGGTCAAACTTGGGTATCCAAAGATGGTGTCCTTCTCATTTTGCCATGGCTTGGTGCTGTGCTCTTGGCACGGTCGAGCGAGGCTCTACACCGAAGAAGAGACATCAGTTCCAAAGACCTTCCGCTGCAGATTGTTCAGGACTTGCCCGATGCCCTGGCTTGTCGGGAAGCATATGCCAAAGTCCAAAATCTCACATTAAAAACACCTAAAAACACCTCATCATAGATGATGATAAACAATGAAAATCCACTGGGATCCATTGGGTTCCAGGATTGATGAGCCCAAAGCCAGCGCTTCCACGTTTCTGACGGGCGATGGCCAAGGCCGCTTGCGCTTTGCATCAAAAATCCTGGGTGAAGAACATGGGCAAATGATGGATGGCAACATTTGGCAATCTAAGAGATCATAAAAAGCCTTGATGGACAATCATGAACATCTATTTCTCAACATAGGGGACATGATATTTTGTGAGGAAAAGCGTGGATTGTTGCAGTTGCTGAATACAGTGTTGCATTTTGCGTGGATTGGACATGAGCGGATTTCAGATGTGCCCGAGAATTGAAGGGGGCTACTGCCTGGCGAGACAACAAGAGAGTTGCCTTCAACAATATCCCTTGAAGCTGCAAGCCAAACCCAGTTGATTTGAACACCTTGATTTGAAAGGGCTTACAATGCCTTGATCTCTTACCTCAAATGCATACAAAGCTGGTTGGTCTGCGAACACGTTTCTTCGGGGGTGCAACTGTTATTCTTGCAGATCAATTTGCTGACCTAGAACTAAAGAGACTAAAGCCGAGCCGTTTCACTTTGGCTTCCGCAAGGAGACCAGTACTGTTTCCACAAAGTTGCCAATGAGACCCAATGCGCCGCCCACATCAGCTGCCTGTCAGCTTCACAAGGCACGCCCACTGGAACGTGTGCTGAGCCACCAGATTCACCAGATATACACATGTGACCTGAAAAAAGCTTACATTTTGGTGGATTTTGGTGTATAGCAGCTATAGCATCCCAGTCCCCATCTCTTGGGAAAGTTGAAATCGCCGCAGGCCACTGCTGCCCAGATAGAAATGGTGCTACTTGTCGTCAATCTTGGGTGCGCTCGTGTCAGGAGCAGAGCAAGACAGTCCTTTGGACCCATTTCTTCTAACGGCTCTAATGGCGTCCAGGAAATTAATGGAAATTCGTTTGAATAGCATGATTTTCTCTCTTTTTTTGGTAGGAATTGAAGTGCCAGACCTACTTTCACGGTTGGGACTGTGTTCCACCTCGCAGCAGCGACTGAGGTAATGTTGTGGTGCTGCAAATATTCAAACGGTCAGGTGCGACCAAAAATCTGTGGTGCAGTGCTGGATTTGCTTCTCAAATTTCTCAAACTATTTCTGCAATGCCAAGAAGGACTGTAGCCACTGTAGCCTAGTAGCATTGAACAAACCGCAGCAAGTACTTTTGGTGCTTGTTTTTTTTGTCCAGCCAGATCACACTTTGATCATAGAAACCATTGCCAAAGGAACCTCATATGGTAGAGGAAGAGCAGATTGCCAGTCGAAGCTGAACTCCATGTCTTTCCCTTTTTTCATTGCCAAACGTGTTGTGCAGTTGTACACCATGCTGGTCACAATGATCGCAATTCTCCTCCTGCTACTCGGCCGAACATGTCACGGGGCCACTGAACTTCCTGCGCCTGTAGATCCATGAGCTCCAGTCGAAAGATCCAACAATGCTGGCACTTTAAAGAAATTGCATGAAAAGAAAATGCCAAAGAAACTTATGAAGTACATACTGCCATCAGTAGGGGACGGATCAAAACCACGTCAAATCATGTCAAAATCATGGTTGAGAAGATGAACATCCATGAGCACCAGCTATTTTTGGGGTGTGTTCAGCAGGGTACTAGGGTTTTGACTACCCAAATCATCCAGATATTCGATTGATATCCCCATTTTTTAAATATTTTTTTGCGGATTGAAACCCATGAATCATGGGATTATGATGGCAAAATTCGGCGACATCCCGATTACCCTCCGGTCAGCAAACATGACGACATGGGAAGTTTCGGAGTTCGATGATTTTTCTGGGGATTTCCCAGCGCCATGTCTATTGGAGTCCCCATTTTTGATGGTTGGATCCCTGTTAAGATCTATTTTTTGGAGGGTATAGCAGTATACCGTATACCCCTTAAATATCCAAGGAACATAAACACTTTAACCATCTTTAACGACTAGTAATGATTTTAACCATAACCACTAAAGATCACTAAAGTATTTCACCATAATATCAACCATTAGTAGCCAAAAGAAACATTTTGGAGGGTATCGATCTTATATTTAACCATTAGTAGCATACCATTAGTAACATATCACTAGTAATATACCATGAGTAATATCAACCATTAGCAACGCAAGAATTATCACTTATCACTTATCAAATTCTAATCATTAGTAACCCAGTGGTAACCCCATTTTCGTAACCATTTGGAGGATATCAACCACTAGTAATAGCAGCAATATATCATTTTCACCAGCAACCCAGTTTGCATAACCACTGGATGAAACTTTCACCACCCTTTATCAGTACAAGAAATTTGAGATGTATGAACCATTAGGAAGATCAACCATTAGTACCACTAGTAATGACTCAACCATGACTAATGTACCATTTCACCCATTCGTCCATTAGCACCCCACGAATTCGTCGATGATTTCGACCATGGCCGGCCACCAGAGGTGCCTCGTGGTCTCCATGAGCCTCGGACTATTGTAAGGACATCAAGGGATCCACATCAGAATTCTATGATATTCGATGAATATTCTATGATATCCTATGATATTCTATGATATTCGATGATATTCGATGATATTTGATTCTTGCATTAAGCTTGCGGTTGCAAGTCATATGTGTGGAACGTTGAACCAAAATGTCCACCGGACATTTTGGCTCAAGCACCCCTGTGTGTTTCCAAGCTTGGATCTTTTTCAAAAACACGGTTTTCTTGTGAGTGGTGGCACTGAATTTTGGCCAATCTCAGTGTGCGTCGCTGTTGGCAAGGACCGTGTCGCAGGCTTCAAACCGTGCTTGTCCAATTTTCTCTTTTCGCTCCTTGTTGCTAGTAAGGCCTCCTCTGACGCGCTCCCCCCTGCTGGCGGCAGGGGTCGGCGGATTATAGCAATGCCCACATGAAGACTTTTACGACCAGTCATTCCATCCTGCACTCAGGTACTGCCACTGCAGAGGTTATGGCCATTGGGCTGCAACTGTTTGCCAAGAACATTTTTTTAAAACATCTTGAGACATTTTCGTGGGTGTTGAAGAGTTGAACCATGTTGAATCTCAACATTTTGACATGGCAGGATATGCAGGATAGGCCAGCTGTTGAATCTATGCCATCCACAGAATTCGCTATGAGGAAGATCTCTAACCACTCCAGCCGACGAGCTCCGAGACAACGTGAACTTCCCAGGCCGCCAGTGAAGCATATTGATCATATTGATTGTCCGGAAGATATTGATTGATTATAAGGGTCCAAAAACCTTGTGGTAGAATAGGGGGATTGTGGTAGATAGGGGGATTCTGAAAGAAATCATACTGGGAGCGCGTTCTGAACCGATTAGTACTTCATGGAATGACATTTCGGGTTTTGAACACTGCTCAATGAATTTCCGTCGAAATGAAACCGACAATTCTTCATCAGACGGGTTTCATTATCATTTTCCCATTGAAATGGCCATATCCTGAGTATATAATCCTCCATTTGAAGACACATCGAGATCGATCCGGCTTGGTGGTTTTCACAGTGGTGGCTTATCCACCGAAAACCCTGGCAGATGGCAGCACAGATGTCCGCCCGCAGGCAACTGGGATCAGTGTGACCTGGATTTTGTGTGTGTGAATTATTGGGACCGCAAAATCTGAAGATGTTGGGATATTTGGGACATATTTGAAGATGTGATATTTCGGGTCCCCAGTTTGACCTCTACCTCTGACAGCCATGGCTTTTTCAGGATCCCAATGGATGACTCGTGAAGCCATGGCAATGGGAAATCGACAAAACTAGATGAAGGTTTTAATGGGAGAATCATCTCTTGTGGGATCTTCGAGCACGCCATGATTACCAGTGACCAAATCCAAGATTCGTCTCCGGGTCTAGTGACTCCCGAAGGCGGTGCCGGCAAGCGACCGCTACATCATTGCCTTCGTGAATACAGGTGCTGCCACATGATTCATCAAGTTCATCATGATTCCACAATCAAACCTACAGATTTTGCATCATTTTGCCATCATTTTTCATCATTTTGATGGGAGAATATATTCAAAACATGGTCAAAACATTCCCATCAAAGGGGGATGGTCCATTCATCTAGGCTCGGGTGACCAAAGAGGTGATGCCTTCGCAAAGACACTTGGCCGATTCAGCACGTTTCAGCAGGGCTTCGTTTGAGGGATATTTGATATTTGATAGTAGGGGAACAATGTGCCCTCCCAGTTCTAAGTTGGTTTACACCCTCCATTAACTATATCGTTATAAGTAAGTATCATAAACCATAGTTCTTGGAGTTATAAAGGAACTTAGGTATATACCCACATTGAAGGGATCAATCAAGAGGTTGAAAAGAATACAGGTCCGCAGAGAGACAAATTGTGAACTCCCTGAGCAGCGGTTGCATATCCATTGATGATTTTTATGACATATTTTTTGGACAATGAACATCCAAGATTATCCAAACATTCGTCGACCAGAATTCCAGAATGCAACTCCTCGATGCACAGGCAACTGGATGAGTGCATGGACACTGGCGGCAAGGCCTATGAACCTTGACGACAAACAGTGGGCAGATGCTGATTGCTCAGGGTGCTGCGGTGCTGCTCCAGCCGCAACATCAGGTTTTGAGATCTTAACACATAACACATTTCAAGAGGAATAGCGTCTTCCAAAGCGCCATTGATATCCATTCATCTCAACCCCCTTCCATCCAGAAAAAAACCACTTCACTTTGAGACAAGAACAGACCTTGGGTGAGCGAGTCGGGGCCTGCTGGCATTTTTTCAAAACAGAGAGAGAGAGAGATTCCAACTGCACCATGACATACCATGACCCACCATCTGGTTGGATTTGTCCAGATATGGCCGGCCATACCCAACTTCGCAATTTCATGACCATGATTCTCCAAACCATTGGATGTTGGAGTTTTCCCAACCAGTTCCCATTTGTTTGGCCTCAGAAAACTCGCCCAGGTGATGCCTCACAAACTGGACGAGGGGCTCGAGAAGATCAAGGAGAACATCCAGGCTGAAAAAGATTGCGCAGTTCTCGCCTGCGGGGGTGACGCTCGCCTGCGGTATGTAGAGACATAGGTTTGCTACTTAAGACTTGGGGTTTTGGCAGAAAAACGAGGGATTTACCGTATACCCTTTGGTAATTTAACAGTTTGCTATTGAAAATGGCCATGGAATTAGTTGATTTACCTGTTAAACATGGTGATTTCCCATAGCAATGTTAGTTTACCAGAGGGTACCTCCATGATTTAGCCTCCCGGATCCAATGGGATCCAATGGGCCTGGAAATTACCGTTGGGATGAATAGCATTTTTTGGACAAAACCGGCTTCTGATATTTTTTAAACATATTTTTCTTGTGTGTTGCAGGTTCCTTCGAAACTGAGAAGAATCTATATTTTCCTTTTCAACCCTGACGTTTTTTTTTTTAACAGAAACCCAGTGTGTTGCGCTTTTCTTCGCTTTCGCCAAGGATGGGACTGTGACCTGGCTTCTGTCAGCACTGCAAACGCTGAAGGTAGACCCGAAGAAGCTCCCGCCTGTGGGAATCATCCCCTTGGGCACTGGAAACGACTTGGCCCGCTCGCTGGGCTGGGGTCCTGCTCTCACGGACAACGGAGACATTGCACGTGGCCTGGAGAATCTACCTGAGTGAGTAGCATAGCCATGCGTGGCCCACCGTTATGAGAATCTGGAACCTCTCGAACCTCTCCAAGTTGGAGATTGGAAGAATCGAAGTTGGTAGCTTTGATATGTTTTGATGATTTTTGATTGCACTAGGACGAGCTGCAACTGCAGCAAGCAATGGAGAAGCAGACCTTTTCTGTGATCGCCGAGGTTATATTCGTCGAGCTCAAATGGCAGAACCAAAAGAAATCGATCAATGGAAACTGACCTTGCAGGCAGGTTTTTTCTGAGTCAACTGCTGTGACCTGGCTTCTGTGAGTCTGCCACCTTCCCCTGCGGACGGTCCCGCGTTGCCGGAGTTGTTCCACTTGGGGTATCCAGAGGTTTGGGCCGAAGCCTCCGGCGCCGCAGGTGAAGGGGAACAGTCTGCTTCCTCCGGCCCTGTCGCATCCCCAAATCACTGCAGTTGGATATTTCACCAACTACTTCTCGGTGGGTTTGGATGCTCAAACAGCAACCTGGTGACTGGAGGGCTGAAAGTATCTGAAAGTTGCTTTTTCCTTTTGCCTAGGGACTATGGTCAATCTTTGTTGAGGATGCTTCCTCCTGTATGAAATGCATCAAGGGCTTGGTTGACAAGCAAACGGTAAAGTGGATGGCGAAACATGGATAAATCATGACGAATCCACAGCAATGGATAAATCTAAGAGAAGTATAGATAAGTCAGCTCAATTTCCCAAAAGATGTGTCACGAATCATCCAGGTGCGAAAGTGCGAAACGCTGCGATGCTGAGGCATATGGAGTGGGACAGGCAAGAGCCACATCTCTGGGCAAAGGCTGCTTTCAGTTTCTTAGCTAAGAAGTTTTGGACTTTATCATACTATACAGACTGTGTGAATCCGAATCCACTGCATCGGAAGTCCTGACTTTCTGGAAATATTGCACCTAGGCATATTCACAGAAATCTTGGACCAACAGATCAGTCATAGGGATTAGTTGGTAGTTGTAGACATCCTATTTGGATCTATTTGGTTGATTTATCAAAGATCGATGGTGAAGACCATACCCCCTACGGCCCCATGGTAATCTACCCTGGCAATGGCCTCTGAGGTGTCGATGTTGGCCCTTTAGATGGCTCCATGGAGGCTTTCTTTGCTATTGCTTGAAGGCAACCAGAGCATCTTTGGACATGTGAGGTTTGTTGTTGTTGTTGTTGTCGTCGCCGTCGTTGTTGTTGTTTCCCCCTCATGTGTTTGTGAAGATACTTTGAAGATACTTTGGGTGACAGCGTTCTCACCATTCCAACCTGATGAAACCTGGGGTGCTGCGTGCTTGGTCCACCCAGTCGAACTGAAAGAAATTCAATCTAGGGTTTTTCTGAAAATTTAGGCGAAAAACACAATCTTGATGATTAATAAGTTTAATCGTCACCAATTCTATACTAATAGATACATATTATGAAGATATATATATATAACTGATATATAACATATATAACTGACATATAACTGATATATAACTGATATACAACTGATAATATAATATAACTGATATAACGATCAACATATGGTATTTTTTGGACCAAAACTACCCATCTCTCTCGATCCAGGCACCCAACTGCTTGCGTTGTCTCTGTTGCCGCACTCGGCCTCTGGCTGGACGTCGATGGTGGAATTTTTTCTTCAGCGAGAAGAAGGACCGGACCTGCTGGTGGTCGATGTGGAACTTTCACCATTATTTACCCTTTGGTAATTTAACAGTTTGCTATTGAAAATGACCCATTTGTAGATGGTTTACCCTAAGATTGCCATAAATTCGACAAATTGTGGCACATACCATCTGGTAATTTGACAGTTTGCTATTAAAAATGACCATAGAGATAGTGGATTCAACCATTAAACATGGTGATTTTCCATAGGATGGTTTCTTATTTACCATCTGGTTATGACTAATAGTTTGCCATGGAGAATCAGCATTTTTAATAGGTAAACCGTCTCTAAATAACCAGAGGGTATGGATTTTGAATGATTTTGAAATCACTTTTAACATCTTTTAAGCAATTTTTATACTGGGATAGATATATGGAGATGTAACTTGTATATGGTTTTGAACCACCAAACATATATCATGGAGATACGAGTCATACGTGATAAATGATGGGTTGGTTGATTGTTATAGGTGGGAACCATACTACTCAAAAAGAATGGGGACTCTCATAATCCGTTAATTATTGGACTCCCGTTCTTCATGGTTACCAGCATTAAAAAACGACTTGTTTGGCTTTGGTGGATGAACATCTCTTGGTAAATGGACGTTGACCTTAAAGGATGCCCTCTGATTGGTTTTTGGAATCACTCTCTCGAAGGAGATGGAGGTCTTCCTAGATGGAAATCGATACAGCTTTGACCGGAAGGAGATTCGACAATTCACCCTGGCAAATCTCAATTCCTACGGTTCCTTGGAATTTTCCTGGGAAAGCACCGTTTTTTTTTGTTGCTTGTCATATCTCCACGGTATATTTGGGGAGAAGCGAGCACCCCAGTCGTCCGATTCGGATTGGAGGTTTCCTATGGGGATAATGGGGGATCCATGGGGATCCCCAGTCGTCACCATAGGTTTCAAATGGTTTCAATACTAGAATGATCATCCATGACGACTGGATGACTGGATGATTATTTGGGGGTACCCTGACTGGAAACTTCATGAAACTTCTCCACTTCCCAGGTGCGGGCATGCTCTTGTACCCGCTAGATCAGGTCGGACCTCAGACTTGGAGAATGTGGCTTTCGTCGCTTTTTGTCGCGTGTCTGATAGTATCAAAGCCCCCTTTTTGAAATAGGATGCTTTCTTATTACCCTCTGGTAAACTAACAGTTTGCTATGGAAAATGACCAATTTATAGATGCTTTACCATGGTTTACCTATTGATAGCATGGTGATTTCACCGTGTCCAAATCTGTGGTCCCATGGGCCCAATCCCAGTCACACAATGATCCTGGGTGATGAACCGATCTCCATCACATGATGGGAACCCCCATTTTAACAATGGTAAAAACATGTAAACACCGTGGTTTATTAAGCCTATAATTTCCCATAATTTCCCCAACAAAAATCCCCAAGAACATTCATAACATTCATCTTTTCCGCTCTTTCCGAGGGAATTTTTTCCGCTGCAGGGGTTGTCAATTTGTGGGACTTTTTTCCAAACAAAAAGTCAATGGTTTACTTGGTGGTTCACCGTTAGTAAGTCGATGGTTACATATTGTAACCTCAGTTCTCTGGATCACCCCCACTTACTCATCTGGTTGGTGGTTTGGAACCTTTTTAATTTTCCATATATTGGGAATAATAATCCCAACTGACTCATATTTTTCAGAGGGGTTGAAAGCACCAACCAGTCATACTTATACTTAGCCCATCTTACTCCTCTTTTTTTAGTAGGGAGAGAACTCAATGACTGGAATGAATCACCAAGTAGAAAATCAGACTTGGAGGTTTCCAATCCATAGGGGTACCCCCAGTCAGCATCCATTTTAGACTGGGATTTTCCATGAAATAAACCATCCATTCTGGGGTACCCCCCCCATTTTTTATTCATTTACCAGGTCCACCCCAATGATGGGAAACTTGAAGTCTTCACACTCGAGAGCCCTGCTGGCGTCCCCTGGAATGAACGGTTGATTTTCGCTGTCGAGTCTCCAAAAATCGTGGGTCGCTTTTTTTTACTGACACCATTTTCAGATTTGAGATCAGATGTTACTGACTGTACATGTTTGGGATGATTTTCATGACTTGCGATTGATTCGGCAGAATCTGGACGTGTAGTAGCGCTTGTTGGTACGGCACAGCCGGACTAGTGACCAGTGATTCCAGTGGAATTGGCGTGGACCGAGCTCTGACTGTGGAATGGTGAGGTTGTTGGAATGACCTTGAGCAAGAAGATCTTGAAAGCTACCCTGGCTCAACATCCAGCGAATCAGTTACTGCTAGATACTGCTAGGTCTCTTTTTCAGTAGGGTCCAGGCTGTTCTGGTAGAGATTGGGATGTCGCAGGAGCGGAACAAGCAGTTGGAGTTGAAGTCATTATAAATCCTTTCACATGGCCTGGGTCAGGGGTCAGAAGTATTATACCAGCCTCCACTGAAAACGACCAATCTGTTTGGCGGGTTTGGGTCCAATACCCTAGGCTTGGCCATGAGAAAAGCCCTTCAGCTGACCTGTCCAGAGGCTCCTTTTGGAAACATCCCGATCTTGAAACAGTCGGAAAAGGTGGTGCTGGAGTTGAAGACAGGACACAGAAGAGTAAGATCCTGCAGTAGTAGAGGGCAGAGACGGTGATCACATCGTAAATAGCTATGTGGAAGTTTCCTAAATGGGGGTACCCCAAGTCACCATGGTTTTCAATACTAAAATGACTTGGATGATTTGGGGGTACCACCATTTTAGGTTCCCCTTCAATCCATTTAGATCGATGATCTTCCCATGGTTCGTAGGGCTTTTTCGCCAGGTTTCATGCTTGGCCGATCAGGACAGTACTACCAGATGGATGGTGAGCCGTGGCTCCTGAATATGCCATGCACTGCCACGGTGGAATTGTTTCTTGGAAGTTTTTCCTTGGGCCAATGGAGCAGCATCAAAAACATCCATAAAGGATCATAAAGGGATTTAGTATTCGGGTTCATGTAGGGAACCTTCCGCGAAAGCAAAACCTCCACGCGCGAAAGCCGTGCGAAAGCTCCGCGAAAGGAGTGCGCCAAGGTCACGCCGCGAAAGCGGCCGCGAAAGCAGATGACTAGTGTAACATCATTTACGACGAATATTTTCCGCGAAAGCCGCCGCGAAAGATATTGCGAAAAAAATCCCGCCGCGAAAGCCAAAACTGTGCGCGCGAAAGCACCGCGAAAGCCGTCGCGAAAGCTTTTCTATAGTAGAACCAGATCGCTACCCGGTTTACGACGCCGCTCAATTGGAGGTTGAAACTGGGTGGGCCCTTGTGCTCGGGTGCTTGGGCAGTCTTGGATTTCTTTTTAGGATTCATGGTCCGGTATGATCCTTGACGAAGTGAAGTGTTTAGCAACACATGGACACTCTCAGTTGAACTGTTGAACTGGGCCAGTTCCCTCTTTTTTCATCTTTTTTCCATCAACATCTAAGCAGATACACGCCCTTCTTTTCAACCTAATGTTGCTTCGAATCTGGCTAAGAAGGCTGGATCGTTAGATGGAGACACAGCAGGTAGCCGGAGTTAGAGCTTTCTACTGTGAGATTAAGGTTAAACTGCAGTTTTTTTCCATGTTTTCCCATGTTTTTTTCCATGTTTTTCCTCAGGTTTTCCACCAGGTTTTCCCATGTTTTGGAGCACTAAGTCGTGCGCTTTCCCGAGGCACAAACGGGTCAAAATGCTTTGCTGCACTCGTGAAGGGGATGGAGCAGGCACCCATGAAATGGCTTGTTTAACCAACAATGGGGATTTAGGTTATATCAACTAATATAAACCCTGAAAATGGATAATTTACATTGAAAATGGATGAACATGGCCTATATTTACCCTCTGGTAAGTCAATGAAGACCCTGAAAATAAGCATTTTTTAGTGGATAAGTATGAATCATACATAATCATACTATCATATGGGGATTTCCATAGCCATGGGGGTACCCCAATAGCTGGTTGGTTTATTTCATGTAAAACCCGAAAATCACATGGATGATTTTAGGGTACCCCCATTGAGGAAACCTCCATATAATACTATGAAATAAATGGGATGTAAATGGCGATTAATAGTTTATTTCACTCAGCCAGGGAAAATCATATTAATCGCCATTTATATACCACTTACACTTAGTTCTTTGTTGCAGCAAATTTTTATGGGGATACATAATCTGAGTGAATATGCTACAATGGCATGTCAATCAAGCACGCGATTTTGCAGTACCCGATTCTCAGACAAGACCACATACCCGAAAATACGTCCAGAGGCTATCCACAGCACTTTTTGCGATGCAGTATCCATGACTCAGTGTTTTCCAATGAGACCAGGGAGCATTTCTTCATGGACAACATTTTGACAACATCTCAAATCGCCTGGCTTATTGACATCTGAATTTCCACTAGCTTGCAGCCACAGGCCACAGGAAGGATATTGGAAGGTGTGTTTTTCAGGGACCAGTGACGCCAGGTGTGTGGTCCGGATGTCAGGATCGAAGCTTCTGGGACCGTGATAGCGCCCATCAGATGGCCAGCATGGCCTCAAGCAGCGGCAGTCGGTCCTGATCCGACGTGTGAAACCACCTGTGGAACAGGAAACGGGAGCACTTGGCACTTGGAAACCGTGCTGTTGAGTTTCAACTGTCATATGGATGGTCACAAAGCCAAGCAAATACTGTGCCGTTGAGTTTCCTGTGCTGATGTCGGTGGTTGGTACCGAGTCAGGTACTATTTTAGGCATGACGGGTCAAGACGATCCGCGTGGAGAGACGTGTCCGCTTGAGAAAAGGTCTGGCGGTTGGGAAAATGGTCTTCAACAATCTTCAACATAGGTCCCCACACCATACCCCATACTTACTCGTAGTACCAATATTTGCGGCTTGCTTATTGGTTGTTGGTGACTTAGGACCATCCGATGTCCGGCAGTGGGCGATTTTTGTGCTCAATTGCCCAGTAGGAACACTTTGAGAAACCTATGGAAACCTATGGAAAAACCTATGGAAACCCATGGAAAATCATGGGAAACCTATGGAAAACTACAAGAACCTTCCATATGCATCATATTCTCACGCAATAAGCTCCTTCGTCTTGGATGATCACTCTGTACACAGTAGATATGCCATTTTAGCAGGATATTTTGAACCAAAACAGCAAACCATATAGTGAGCATCCCTGCAATCCGGAGCCAAACCAAATCTCTACAGATCAGTCTTGATCTCGAATCGAATCCTCTCACTTTTGTGAGTGCTTCAGATGTTTTTAAACGTCCATCCCAGCAAATCGCATGATGATCCCAATTTATCCCAATTTTCTATATGCAATATTCGCACCTGGGTTGACAGCACCATCAATTTTTGATTACTATCTCCATATCTGTTGATATCAATGTTGATGGTCAAAGAACAAAATTCTACAACACATCGCCCCAATGCCATGTGGCGCCTGGTCTTGGTGTCCCTTCTGCGGAGCTCCAGCTGCGCCTTCCTGGGCCAAAGTGCCCGAAGCTATGTGCCTCGGTGATGAATGACTCATGGGGATTTCCCAAGGAAAGATGGGAATTCCAGGAAAAAAACATGGGATTTACCAAGACAAATTGGGATTTGAGCCAGCAACAATGGGATATTTTTGGGGAGATAGAGACTGCGAATATTAGATATATGGTGTGTCTCAAAAGGGGGTGATTACTGTAGTTATATTCCCACTCAAGTGCAATTTTGAATGGGGATTTTTTTTTTATCCACCGTCAAGACTGGGGGGTCTCGAATTTTCAGACAGGCCGTATATGGGTTTTAGGCAAAACCCACGCGTGGCAGGTCAAATTTGCGCTCATTTTCAGTAAGCCAGCCATTTTTCACCCTTTATTGGTGATACTTTTGACCTATCATCATGTGGCAATTTTTAGAGAATAAGGATGCGAAACGGAATGTGATTCAAGCATTGTTGAGACACTCCCAATTTTTGTGGTTTTTTCTTTTGTATGGAATCTAAGTGGCCCGGCATTGTTGCTGCGAATTCCTTGCGTTTGGAAACATCTATATCTGTGGATTTGCAGAACCTCCCATCAAACCTTTCCGACCTTTAGCGGTTCCCAAGGACCCCCAAGATGACACCGCTGCTAAGGTGGATGCACTGTTTTATAGTTCTCCCGCAGACCTCCTGCTCGACGACGAGGTGCGTTGTGAGATTTTTTGGGTGCTTTTATGGCCGCAATACGTCACTTTCCAGTACTATGATCCTTCAGTGGGAGCACAATCTTCCAACATTGAAGAACTGATTATAGTTTGTTCTGATGTTGGACATCATTGCACCTGCACGAATCCATTGCCACTTCAGTGCTTGGTACAGTGGATAGATGCTTGGTACTTGCGGGCTGCTTAGTTAGTTTAGATCAAGTTAAGGAACATATTTTGATACATTTGATATCCTTTGGCTAAGCAACTGCTTCCAGTTAAACAACTGGGCCAAAACACCTAGATATGTTCCAAATCCCATGACCCTGGTGTGATGATGACTTCAGTTGGAGACTAATCAAATCCCGTATGGCTTTGTCCGAAAATAGGCTATACCTCAAATAGATTCAAATAGGGATATAAATAGGCTATAGCCAATATTGTAATCATCATATTTCCCATATTGTAATCACCATATTGAAATCAAATAGGCTACCCTCTGGTGAACTAACATAGCTATTGAAATGGCCATTTATAGTGAGTTTTCCCATTAAAAATGGTGATTTTCCATTGCTATGTTAGTTCACCAGAGGCTATTCCCCAAGTGCCATAAGATGCCGTGTCAGTTGAGCCATTGAGGCTGCCATGCCTCCACAGATTGACCTGAACGACTCTGAAGGCTCTGAATCGATCACAGGTGCCCGTTGTGGATTCAACGCCAGTTAAGGGTTTATTAACCACCACTAGGCTGTATTAATTAATATAACATAAATATATATAAAATATATAATATATATATATAAATATAAAATATATACAATATATATAATATATACACTATTTATATACAATATATACAATATATACAATATATACAATATATACAATATATACAATATATATATACAATATATATATACAATATACACAATATATACAATATATACACAATATGTACAATATATACAATATATACAATATATACATATATACAATATATACAATATATACAATATATATATAGAATATATATATACAATATACGCAATATATACAATACATACAATATATATATACAATATATACAATATATATACAATATATACAATATATATATAACATATATACACTATTTATATACAATATATATATTTACACAATATATACAATATATATATACAATATATATACAATATATACAATATATACAATATATACAATATATACAATATATACAATATATACAATATATACAATATATACAATATATACAATATATATATAGAATATATATATATATATACAATATATATATACAATATATACAATATATACAATATATACGATATATACAATATATATATATACAATATATACAATATATACAATATATACAATATATACAATATATATATATACAATATATACAATATATATACAATATATATATATATACAATATATACAATATATACAATATATACAATATATATAGAATATATATACAATATATACAATATATACAATATATATAGAATATATATACAATATACACAATATATACAATACATACAATACATATATATATACAATATATACAATATATACAATATATACAATATATACAATATATACAATTCAATATATATATATATATACAATATATGCAATATATACAATATATATAGAATATATATACAATATACACAATATATATATAATATACAATATATATACAATATATACAATATGTACAATATATACAATATATACAATATATACAATATATACAATATATACAATATATACAATATATACAATATATACAATATATACAATATATACAATATATACAATATATACAATATATACAATATATACAATATATACAATATATACAATATATACAATATATATTTACAATATATACAATGGATATACAATTTATATATATACAATATATATGATATATATATATGTACAATATATTTACAATATCTATACAACATATACAATATATACAATATATTATATATTAAACAATATATTCAATATACTCGTCATATTATGTATTATATATAATATACTATACATTAATATAATATACTATATATTAATATAATATAATATAATATGATATTATATCTTATTATATCATATTCTATTATATCATATTATATTATATTTATATTATATACTTATATAATTTCAAATTATATCATATTATTTTATATTATATATATTATATACTTATATTATATTATATATACTTATACTATATATATACTTATATCATATTATATTATTTTTATATTATATATACTATATATATTATGATATTATATGATATATTATAATATATATATATATATTATATTATATATATTATAATATATATATATATATACATATGTTATATTATATATTATGATATAACTTAATATATATTAAATAATATATATTATTTGTTATATATTATATATTCTATATGGTATAGTTTATATTATATGTAATACATTATATATTATATTACATATATATACATATAATATTATATATATATATTTATATTATATTATATTATAATATTATATTATATTATATTATATTATATATTATGTATATATATATATTATATTATATTATATATTATATATATCATGTTTTATATCATATATTATATTATATAGATTAGATATTATGTATTATATATAAATATATGTATATATTGTATATATAGTTAATTGTATTTACATTCCCAAAATGTTTCAACTCCCCAAAGGCACGCAATCCCCAATATTGAGGTGTCCCAACAACCACCGGATTTCGCCTGGGAATCAGTTGTGGATTGATTTGGGAGTTTCCATAGTCATGGGGGTACCCCAAAATAGATGGTTTCGAATGGAACCTCCATCTATAAATGGAAGATTTGCAGGGACCCCCATGTCAGGAAACCCCCATTTTGAAGAAATCCAGTGGATGGCAATTATCTCAAAGGATTTTTCAGAATTCAGTGGACATTATGTCACAGAAATCAGGGGGGTGTCTGCTGGGGGGGTGTGGGCAAATCAGGGTTTCAATGAAAACATGTCTAACAAAGGGTATTTCCAGGTGTTTTTGGAATTGTCAATTCCCTTCAGAATGTCGCTCATAGCCAGAAATTGTGATCACTAAGTGGTCGCTCGGTGGGAACTGTGACCACTTGACTTGGGGGCAATGGCTTGTGCTCCAGCTGGTGTAGCCGCCAGCCGGCTTGATGGCATGGTTGCTACAGAAAAGAACAATTTTGTGTTGTTGCAAAACCACCAAAAAACACAATTGTGGGAGTCCAAACCATCAAAAAAGTAAAAAAAAGTCGGCTCTGTGGGGTACCCAGTGGGGACAGTGGAAAACCACCCCCAAAATCCATTTTGATCGCTATTTGCGAGGTTTTTTGGGGGGGTTACTGCACCCACCTTATCTTTATTTAGCTTTATTTAGCTTTATTTAGCTTTATTTGGCTTTATTTAGCGGTCTTTTAGCTTTATTTCAGGGTTTTTAGCTTTATTTAATAATAGTTATTTTTATTTAACTCAATTTAAAGACCACCTAATTTCTTGGTTTTATTCATATCTAAAATTTCACCAGTCATTTTTTGGCCATCCAATTGAATCCACAATATCTCAGACTCCCAGACAAATTCCAGTTTCCCCCAGATCTCATTTGACTGGGAATGACCATTTGATTGACACATGGGTTCTGCTACTGCAACCTTTGTGGGCATCACCAAAAATGATATCCAGCCACTGTTCCAAATCACTATAATGCAATAGACCCTTTTGTTTGAGTGCAAGGGACGAGAGAAGGAAAACATCCAACATTGCCGGCGTTGCTGAAGGCAAAGGGTTTCAGAAACACCAGTTCATTTTTGAAAGATTTACTTTGCATCAACTTCCAACGTTGGCATTTTTCACCAAAATCATGGAAAATCATGGTTTTCGGACGTTTTCTCATGTGACGAAACTACTAACTTTATTTAAGTTTATTTAAGTTTATTTAAGTTTATTTAGCTTTATTTAACCGTATTTAGCTTTATTTAGCTTTACTTAGCTTTATTTAGCTTTATTTAAGTTTATTTAGCTTTATTTAAGTTTAATTAGATTCCTGCCTATTTGTGATGGTATCCATGCCATCTTGCAGTAACCCCCCTAGCACACCCTCCCATAGCTTCCGTGATTATGATACATTACGGACATTGACACTGCACAGCCAGGACAAGAGTGCTACCATGACAGCCACTGTCCTTTGAAGCGTCACTTGCCGAAAGCACACGTAGACTGTGGGACTGTTGGGCTTCAATGACTTGACCTTTCAAGGAACCACACGTAGACGTGTGGCTGGTCTATCAATATTAGGTCAGATGTAGCTGCAAACTCAGTTGAGCATATGCTGGCTAAACCATACGTACTAAAGTCTCTTTCCGTTTCACAAACTGCGACTTGTTGCTCTTTGAATGATCAGTTGACCACGATCCCGACTTGTCGCTCAGTTGTTGCAGGCCCGCTGTGCGACAGAGGCCGATACAAATGCAAGGTGGGACATGGCCGATCAACATTGTACGCTGGCTTAACCTGAAATGATGGTTGGTTGTTCATTGTTGTTGTGGGAGATCTTACTACCATAAGGACCATAATCTACTATATTTGGGCGATGTCTCAGCACATAATATGATTTTCCATGATAGAACCATTTTAGCATTCCCGCAGAACAAACATGATCAGACACACGGTCATAGCCCTTCACCGCTTGTCAGATCAGCCATCGGGTTGTTTTGAATTGGCACCTTTAAAGCAGCAGACGTTTGGCAAGCTGGGAAATCCCCGTGGACTAGCCATGGAGGTTATGGCGGCCGGGTCACTGAAAATAGGCTACCCCCAAATCCTCTGGTTAATGACATTAATGTGCCCTATTCAATGACCATTTAAACGGGTACACTGCATTTTTCGACAGACCCATGACCCATGTAGAAATGCTGGATTTTTCAGCCATGGACCTGATGGATTTTTCAGCCAGGACATTTGGAACTTCAATGCTTCGAAGGGAAACTGCAGATGCGACGGCTGCAACAAGGAGGACGAGCATATGTTGCCCGTGAGTCACAATGGACTCCCAACTTCCTGGCCGACACATGTCGGGCTTTGTGGGCAAAAATGAAAGACCTATGGTTTGTTTGAACATTGCTCAACCCCCACCAATATGCACTAATATGATCTCATATTCACACTGATTCACACATAGTGCTCCAGAAGGCACCGGCAAGAGTCGACAACCGGTCACATGGGAAGAATGGATACAATGTTGTAATGTTATGTTCATCTGCTCCAGTCGTTTTAGTGCCCCCTTCCAGATTGCACTTTGCACTCATTGCAATCGTTGGTGTTACCAGACGATGGGATTTGAATTGGAGTCTTGACAGGAGCTGCAGGTGATTGAGATAGACTTGGATGAACGGAACAATGCTTCTGAATGCACCTATCAGTGCAAGCATCGGCCTGAATGCAAAGGTTTTGAAGGGTCTTTGGGCTGCAAGTCCCAGAGTTGGCATTTCACTTTCAGAATCTTCATTTGAATGCGACAAGATCACACTTTTTCGCTCCCAACACGGGCATTGATTGTGTCTCATGTAGAGCTAGGACGTGCAGGACTTGGTTGTCCCTGGAAACGTCCAACTTGAACCTTCAGAAGCTTGGGCTTGACTTCCTCGCAACTTTGACAGCCAAGGTACTACGAACATGATAATTTCAGGTGCCAACTCTTCAGGACAATGTGTTGAACATGCTGCTTCGCCTACCACTCTAGACACGTTGAGGTACCAAACTGTTTTGCAATCTGCCAAGTATGAGTCAAAGGTTGGAATACTTCAAAATCTTTAAAGATACTGGATAGCCTCCTGCTGCAGCCGGGGGAATACGACCCTTTTTTGTTAGCCGCAAGCTGCGGCTTCACAGAGTTCTTTCGGAGGATCGTTCGTGATGAAGATTTTCCAGAGCTGTTCTTGACTGGCGATGGCCAAGGTGACCCTTCGGCTTTGAACAGCCTGTGATTTATAGAATGCCGCGCACCAAACCATTCCATTCCATTCCCACACTGGAAAAAGAAAAGACCGTGCTAGAAGAACTGCTGACTGACCAAGGTGATGGCTACTGTTTTCACAGAGTGGAAGCTCTCTTCAAATGTAAGAACCACCTTGCATGCCGTGCGATGGAAGGAGGCCTCGGCATGGATGGTATCATTCTGATGTTGTTCTGCTTCAATGAGGCAACTTGTGGGTTACAGGCTTTCCATTTTCGGTCGTTTTTAGGCTTCAAGGCATAGTTCTGAAATGGTGACTTGTGGGTCTCAGAAGATCTCAGAAGATCTCAAGACTCTAGACATTGGAAGAGGAGTAAATTCTACTACTGTAGTACCATGATGTCATGATGCGGTCAGGAAAAGATTTGTGCTGTCCGAACCGCGATGGAGACTCTTAGACTGCACTGGAAGACACAGCGCAGCGTGGAGAGGGGATGAACCAGTTTCAACGACCAGTTTCAATTGAGGCTAGTCTGCATTGCTGCTCCTACAAGCAAAAGATTCAGGCACTGGTTAGTGGTATGCCAGGTATGCCAGGCATCAGGAGTTGGCTTAGCATATCATGGAATCATATGGAATCATCCTGTCAACCACTGGACACAGGTGGGCGGCTATGCCATAGTGGGTTTGGTACTGCCGCTGGGCTTAAAAGCTGGTGGAAAGTTGGCACTTCAATTCATGGATGGTCATGGTCTCGTTTTGATAATGTTGATACCTCTGGTAATCTGTTACTGTTTGCGAACTGGAAATCAACATTTTGAATAGGGATTGATCATCGAACTACTTCTGGGTCATGGCTCTTGGATTTTCTGGGTCGCTTTGGCCATTGAATGACTTGACGACATGACGACATGACTGCCAGGTTGCTTGCAATCTCCATGACCCTCGGCGGAACAACTGTTTGGTGGCGAATGTTGGATGGTGTTGTGCACTTCATCTCAACACAATACGACACTTTTGTTTTTTTCTATTTGATTTAGATTGATTTAGTATTTCGCGTCCAATTGCTGGTCCCAACATGTCCTACCCAGTCTTATTTTCCACAATCAGGAGTCCTGTTGAGGGGTCAAGTTTGAGACGAAGGTAGATCGTTGTCCGACAATCCCATGATTGCCCTGGTTCCCCGGGAGGTCCCCTGTTGAATCCCTGACTCAGGTTCTGTAATTGCAGAACTTGCGGCCAACTCGGCTGCAAGATGACATGGACTTTTTGCATAGTCCATCCATTTGCAACGGGGTGAAGCCGTATGAACCATGTGTGTTACATTTTGGGAGGTGGACTTGAAGCATTTGGTTGAAACAAATCGGGACAGAAATGGGCAGAACCTCCTGTAGAATCTAGTCAAGACAATGTGACCCAGCCTATATGATTCTAGTCGATGTTCAAGGCAAATCGGACCTCGCAACCTCTGCCAGCGATATGCCCGGCTCGCAAGATGTGCGTTTTCCCAGTGTTGGAGGAGCGCATGGGGTGGTAGCCTGAGTGGATGTGATGGTGGTTGTTGTGGTAAACAAAATAAATCCCAAGAATCAATGGAACAATAACAATAATATTATTATATAATATTATATAATATTATATAATATTCTATATTATGACAATGATACACCTACCATTTGACATGTTCGGGATGATATTTACCACCCATCTATGGAAAGTCCTTAGGGATGGTTTATACTTGGGTTCACCACTGTCGAGCGACAGGAGCTTCGGTCACATTTGGTACGATCGTGTCTCAGCTGCAGGGCCAGGCACCTCAGAGGTGCCTGGTGGTCGATCCTTTTGACAGAATCCAGCTGGACGGTGAGGGTTGAAGCCGCCAAGGCTTGTAAACTGGAGCTCTGATTCTTTGAACATTGACATTGAGTCAACATCAGATTGCACCAGAGACGCAGACTTGATAGCGCCATCAGTTATGGGGATTTCCTATGGATTATGGGATTATATCCCCATTATACCCCTATAAATCCCCATAAAATATCCCTAGTGAGTCTCTTAGTGAGTCAACTGGCACCTTGAGGGCCCCTCCAATCGCTACATCATCGCTTTTGTCAACTCAGGCGCCATGGCACCACATTGCTGTTACAGTAACAGTTACCCTCTGCTAAACTAACATAACTAAGGAACATCAGCATATTTTATGGGTAAATCAACTATTTCTATGGCCATTTTCAATAGCTATGTTAGTTTACCAGAGGGTACATGCTGTTATTGTCACTTACACCTGACGCTGCACCGATGTGCAGAGGCTCTGGGGACCAGAGCGGAGAAAGCTTTCAGGAGATCTTCAGAAGTCATTTGGGCAATGATGGCTTTGTTTGCAACTTCTCCACAAAGTGGTGCAGTGAAAACATGGGAACTGTTTTATGATGTTTCATGTGTTTGATAGTCTTTGATGGATGTTGAGTTCAAACCAATAATTGATAATGCCTGTATCTGCCTGTAGTATTGAGATTATCAGGCTGGATGATCAAATTCCTCCTTGGTTTTGGTCTTTTGTTGCTTCTTTGGTAGCACAAATGGACATGTGCCCCTCCTGTCCCTTCTGAGCTTAAAAGCTGTGACGAGCGCAATTTCTTAAGGTAAATTGCCTTCGCAACTGGATGCGGCTTGCTTCGAATAGCATCGCTTGCCAAGCCTTTGCTGTGAAACCAACTCGGTGTGACCACACATGATGATGGGTTATAGTTATATGCCCAAGTTATCGCCAGTTTTATGAGGCATATGATGATCAACCATTGGATCAGGATTACCAATCTTTTTGGACAAACCGAATTGATTCTGTCTATCTCTCGCAAAAAGTGTCTGGAATGGTCATATGGTAAACGTAGCATTCGACCTCTGATCTAACTGGGGTTATATATTTTTATACCATCCATGTCTATATTTGGCGAAATTGGGCAAGTTCAGGGTATTCTATGGTTTTGGATTTACCGCATTGTGTGGTTGGTGGTTTCAACATGTTTCAAGAGCTTTTTATTCTCAACCATGTTTTGGGACAATGACACCCAATCACATTTTTCAGATGGGTGGCTCAACCACCAATCCCAGATTTTAAGGCAAGATGTACAGGAACCCCCATCCAATTGGAGGACAAGAACCATAGACCGAACCATTGTTTGCCGTAGATTTTCTCAAACCCATCGAAGCAAGGAGGGATTTGAGAAGGCAGCTGCGATGATGAAGAGCCAGGAAGTGGCCATTTTGGCGTGTGGCGGTGACGGCACGGTCACGTGGATCCTTTCTGACGCTGGGGCCAACATAGCGAGTTCGGGAGTTCGGCCAGGCCAACATAGCTGCTATTTTTAATGGGCTTCAATTCATCCGCAGCAAAATTGTGGCCCCAGTTCCAACTCAATCAGGGCAAGATCTGTGTTGGATCCAGGATTTTAAGGAGTTTTCTTGCCTGTCAGGTTGAGTCCAAAGTTTTGCGCGCACATCAAATCTACCAACATGGTTTTCAACTGTTTTCATAGAATCAAGCACGGCGGTGGAAAATCACCCATTGGTAGTATTCAAAGATGAATTTCCCTTAAAAAGACCTCCATGAATTGGAGATTTTCCGTTGCCACGTTTGATTTCCGTTGCGTGAAATCATGGGAAATTTCTTTGGGGGTCTCCTGGGAGACCCCGTGGGAAGACCAGGAATTGAATGGCCGGAAAGAGATGTTCGAAGGCAGTCCTTTGCCATCGGTTGGAATTATACCACTTGGCACCTTGGTAGTGGAGCAGAAACTTTACCGCGAATCCTGTTGCACTTGCTGAGACCTGCTGAGAATGAAAACTTGAACATGAACTTAATTTTCAAATTGCTGAGCAGGATTTGAAGATCAGATAGTTGAAGAGAATTGAAGGATGTTGAAGGAAATAGCAACCCTGGGCTGCCAAGTTGGAGCCAACAATTACCGACTTGCCAAGAAATTGGCATCAACCAGCATCAATTAGCTAAAATATCATGAAACTAAAGCTCTTCAATGAGATCTCTTGAGCATGCCTTCACCACTCATCAGTTTAATTCGCCTTCTGGGAATGGGCCGAGGCACTGGAAATGACTTGGCCAGATCTCTGGGTTGGGGTCCAGCCCTGACCGTTCCGTCCCAAGTTTTGAGAGAACTTTTGGTGTCGGAAGCATTTCTCAGTCTGGAAATCTTGCTATAGCTGCTAGACAAATTCATTTGAATGGATATTTCAGATATTTCAGATGATGCCATCATGGTGTTAAACATCATGTGTAGTTTCATTTCAGGTAATACCAACGCTTTCGTTTGACTTTTGCAGATGAGGATACTGATCAGCTGAAGGATTACATTCAACGTGCTCGTTATGCTGGAAAAGTTGACTTGGACCAATGGAGTCTGGGATGTCAGCCTGCTTCTACCATCAATGGCTCCTGCATTTGAGCATGGTAATATAAGGTGGGCAACAACAAGGCAGGCTTTTGCAAGGATACACAGATAGGATTACTGTAGGTGTGAAAGGTTGAATTGAACGATTGTCCCATCAAGAGACCCGCCAGCAATTCTCACATGGAGCATATATGAAAGCAGCTTGGCTGTGACAAATCCAAGCTGTCTAGAGCCAATTTGGCCCTTTCCCACCACTCAATGTTGCTCCCGATGACCGTTGCAAGGAAACTGATCTTGAGACCAACGCATCTGCTTCCTTCATCTTTGCAGCAAGTGGGCCAGGTCGAATTTACAGGCGCAGAGCCTGTAAGTTTTGGATGTTTTTGGAACATTTTGTGGCCGGTCAGGGTTGAAAAGATCATGATCAATGATAAATGATAACTATAGAATGATGACTGACGGAAACGGGAAATTGCTTTGGCAATCTTTTCCACTGGAAACATGACAACCCTACTAACAAGGCAGAGGTGGGTTTGCCAGGGCAACACACAACAACGACTTAGTTTTTTTTCACTGGAACATTCAACATCAGCCAAAAAGTCTACTTTTGATCCAAGGCACAAAGATAGATTCAGACAAGGTTCTCGGCTATTGGTGCGTGCACTTCCACAAGAGTAAGCGCTAATTTATACAATCTACACACACACACATATATATATATATATAAATATATTATATTATATATATATTATATATATATTATATATATAAATATATTATATATTATATATATTATATATATGTATTATATATATATTATATATTATATATATATATATTAACAAAGCCATGTTTGCTAAGCCGGAAACAGACCCCCCAAGTCGAATCGCTGCAGGCTACTTCACGAACTACTTCTCCGTAGGGATGGATGCCGCGACGGCCTTTGAGGTGGCAAAGGTGAGATCCTCGCGCTTCGGCCGCTGTTGCTTTCGTTCCCTGGCTAAGGGCCCGCCCGGTGCAAAGAGAATCTGCTGAAAGCGGTACCACGGGTATCACTTCAGGTATCACGGTGTCACTAGTTTAGTCAGTTTTGGCTAGTTTTGGTACTATGGCGTCAATCATTTTGAGAGCCACAGCCAATCATAGGAATCATCGCCATTTCCAGACATGGGAGGAAATCAGATAGCATCAGAGAGCCTATTTTGATCTGTTTTGCTATTTTGTGCAGCTGGGACATGGTGGGACAAATGGACTAAGCGCCTGAAGTTTCAGATGTTCCTTGCCTTTCAGCTAAGGTTTGCGATGTTACCCGCCCTGCAGCTTTATCCATGGTGGTCTCCTGTGTTATGGCCTGAATGGGCAGCTCGGGCTTGACAAAAACAGTCCCTGTGTCAAGCCCATGGCAGTTTCCCCAGCATGGGAGGCTTCCTAAAGGTGGTTTCAGGAGTTGGTTTGCATTTCAGACCATTTCTTCACCAATTGAATCCAATTCACACAGCGAGTCCGTGTTCCCTTCGCCACATTTTCCCCAGAAGAGTTTTTCTGGGGCCGAAATGGCTGAGATATGCAGAGATCCTGAAACAGCAATTCCAGGCAAGTGTTGATAGTATAGACTGGGGCCAATTGTTTCATTGTTTGTACCATTTATACCATTTTCTACCGCATTGTTTGGCCAGATTCAGATCCAAGGCCAAATTGTTTGCGCTGCCTCTGCTGCCGCACGCGACCCTTGAACTCTGGGGATGACCTCACAGTAAAGCTGGATGGTCAAGACCACAGCTTCAGCGGTCAAATCCGGCAGTTTACTTTGACAAACCTGAATTCATATGGTTCCTTGGCCTGCAGTTGCATTTCATAAAGATATCAGTAAGTGTTAAACTTTATATATAAGGGGATACAAAAGGGGGCTATGTCCCAACTTAGTTACTTATGGACCTTATGGAGATGAAAATTACCACGTAGTCTCATTTTGGCTCATTTTGGCTGCATGCTCAGTGTGTTGTACCTCATGGGTCAATTTCACCTCCCTGCTCCGAAGGTGCACCTTTGTTGGTTGAATGACACCTTGATTGAAATTGGAAAGGTACTTCCATCCAAGCGTCAGAGTAAGAAGCATACACTTGTAGAATATGTAGAATATGTAGAATCTGTAGAATTCCGTTGTACAAATGGGAACGATCCCGTAGAATCTTGTAGAGCGACGCCCTGGAGTCCAAGCCTCTTGGGGATGCCCATGCGCCCCATGCCTTGTTCGGTCAGAGTTCCAACGGCACCATAGTTGGGGCGATTGCAGTTCCGATGAACAGTGAATAGCTGGCCTTTGGCCATGAGAATGATAATGACAATGATATGGTCATGATAATGATATTATGTTTGAAATGTTTTAAAATTATGATAATGATGTGGTTGCCTCTCTGTCTCTTTCTTTTGCCACAAATGATCATCATCGTTGCCAGCGTCGTCGTCCTCGAAAAATCCTCCATTTTCCGTGGCTGATTCAGATCCAGTCTCAGGTGCTGGCATGCTTTTATATGGTGCTGAAGACAAGGCACGGCACGAGTCAAGCGATCCACAGAAATTGCTTTGATTCATGTGGGCAGGCTGCTGCGCGTGACACACAACCATTGAACCATGAATGGGTCAGGGCAAGGGTTTCATGATGTTTCATCAAAACCAAAACAACCCAACTAACACATAAGATCGTATAAGGGATCATATAAGGAGGTGTCCTAAAATGGGGGTACCCCCAGTCATCATCCATTTTAGATTGGGATTTTCCAACAAAAAAACCATCCAGCTATTGGGATACCCCCCCATTTATGGAAATAGGGTCCATTGACCTGCCATATATTGCTGCTTTGTGGCTTTGCTCAGGGGGTTCAATCTGAGGTGCGCCCCAACGATGGGAAACTGGAAGTCTTCACGCGGGAAGGACCCTTTGGAGTTGCCAGGATGCGATTCAGATCTTCGAGCATTCAAAATGGTGAAAGAATTGGGTTTCAAAAACCCATCCAGAAATTCAAGTGAACTATATTATATGGTATTATTCTATGTTTTCGGCCAATTTCTGCCGAAATTGACGAAGGATTTTCTCATGTTCAGCCTGTTCAGCGTTGAATCCCAGCTTCCAAAAAGGATCCCAGCGTTGGATCACCACATTTTGACGGCAACGGTACTGGTGGGATCCGATGGGCTGCCAGGTGGTTACTATGACTCTGAACAAGAAGCTGCTGCAGACGAGTTGGAGCTGTGGAGACATCCCAATCCTATGCCAACCAAAGAAGGTCGAGATGCAGCTGAAACGAGGACCCCAACTTGTGGCTAAAAGAATGGGTGTTGATTGTTGGTTGGCTGGTTTATGTTGGTTTATGGTGAGCTCTCTGTCTCTCTCTCTCTATATATATTTAAGGGCTGCCGCCCCTGCCGCCGACCCCGGAAGAATTGGCAAGCCGTCAGAACGTATATATGGTACAGGCCTGCACCCCCCCCCCAAAAAAATGGGGAAAGGATGTTCCTGGGACAGTTTTACACGCATTGTTGCCTGTTATGGTTTTTATGTTAAAGGGGAACGTGCGTTCCTTGGTGTTGATGTTTTTTGTGATGTATGTTGTAAGACATTTTTGGTAAAAACGTTTCATCCTAACCTTGTTGATTATTTTAGGGGAGTATCATTGATTGGGTCAGGATTTGTTGAGGTTGTTAGGGTTTTAAAGTTTTCATTTATTCAACTAAGATTTGAAAAGAAGGGAATGTATCATTAAGATTGTCTATTATTTCTTGATGACTTAACGGTTCTGTCACTTCTTCATTGTTTGATTGTTTTTGTGTTTTTCCATTATCTTTTTGTTTTTGACCGGAATTGTTGGTTTGTGCTCATGGTTTTTTCTTTCCATTTCTTTTTAGGATGGTGTGTCTGACCACCCTTGCGTGAGTCGTAGGCTTCGCAAGGAAAAAGGCACATCGTAATAATTGGGTTTGTGAAATGGAAAGGAAAAAACATGGGCCCAAGTCAGCAGCATCAGCAGCATCATTAGCTTCAGCATCAGAATATATATATATTGTTATCACTGTTACAATTAAATTATTATCCGTATTTAGTAGATGCATTTGGTGAAAACATGGGGGGTTTTGATCTTGTGATCGTCCTGGTGGTAGCTACAGGCAAAAAGAATTTAAGGTACTTTTTTCGAGAATTTCTGTTGCCTGCGGCCGCTCGCAGGAAAACAACTTCGAAAAAAGCAGCTCCCGGCAGGAAAACACCATGGCTCTGAAGGACGAACTAGTTCCAAAACCACGCCAAAAAAGTGCCTAACGTCCCTTCTGAAATCCTAGAAAAACAACCTTTTTCGAGAATTTCTGTTGCCTGCGGCCGCTCGCAGGAAAACAACTTCGAAAAAAGCAGCTCCCGGCAGGAAAACACAATGGCTCTGAAGGACGAACTAGTTCCACAACCACGCCAAAAAAGTGCCTAACGTCCCGTCTGAAATCCTAGAAAAACAACCTTTTTCGCAGGAAAACAACTTCGAAAAAAGCATAAAAGCAGCTCCCGGCAGGAAAACACCATGGCTCTGAAGGACGAACAACCTTTTTCGCAGGAAAACAACTTCGAAAAAAGCAGGTCCCGGCAGGAAAACACCATGGCTCTGAAGGACGAGCTAGTTCCAAAACCACGCCAAAAAAGTGCCTAACGTCCCGTCTGAAATCCTAGAAAAACAACCTTTTTCGAGAATTTCTGTTGCCTGCGGCCGCTCGCAGGAAAACAACTGCGAAAAAAGCAGCTCCCGGCAGGAAAACACCATGGCTCTGAAGGACGAGCTAGTTCCAAAACCACGCTAAAAAAGTGCCTAACGTCCCGTCTGAAATCCAAGAAAAACAACCTTTTTCGAGAATTTCTGTTGCCTGCGGCCGCTCGCAGGAAAACAACTGCGAAAAAAGCAGCTCCCGGCAGGAAAACACCATGGCTCTGAAGGACGAACTAGTTCCAAAACCACGCCAAAAAAGTGCCTAATGTCTCTTCTGAAATCCTAGAAAAACAACATAAAACAACATAGAAAAACAACATAAAACAACATAAAACAACCTTTTTCGAGAATTTCTGTTGCCTGCGGCCGCTCGCAGGAAAACAACTGCGAAAAAAGCAGCTCCCGGCAGGAAAACACCAGGGCTCTGAAGGACGAGCGAGTGCCAGAACCACGCCAAAAAAGTGCCTAACGTGTCGTCTGAAATCCTAGAAAAACAACCTTTTTCGAGAATTTCTGTTGCCTGCGGCCGCTCGCAGGAAAACAACTTCGAAAAAAGCAGTTCCCGGCAGGAAAACACCATGGCTCTGAAGGACGAACTAGTTCCAAAACCACGCCAAAAAAGTGCCTAACGTCCCTTCTGAAATCCTAGAAAAACACCCTTTTTCCGAAAACAACTTCGAAAAAAGCATAAAAGCAGCCCCCGGCAGGAAAACACCATGGCTCTGAAGGACGAACAACCTTTTTCGCAGGAAAACAACTTCGAAAAAAGCAGCTCCCGGCAGGAAAACACCATGGCTCTGAAGGACGATCTAGTTCCAAAACCACGCCAAAAAAGTGCCTAACGTCCCGTCTGAAATCCAAGAAAAACAACATTTTTCGAGAATTTCTGTTGCCTGCGGCCGCTCGCAGGAAAACAACTGCGAAAAAAGCAGCTCCCGGCAGGAAAACACCATGGCTCTGAAGGACGAACTAGTTCCAAAACCACGCCAAAAAAGTACCTAACGTCCCGTCTGACATCCTAGAAAAACAACCTAACGTCCCGTCTGAAATCCTAGAGAAACAACCTTTTTCGAGAATTTCTGTTGCCTGCGGCCGCTCGCAGGAAAACAACTGCGAAAAAAGCAGCTCCCGGCAGGAAAACACCATGGCTCTGAAGGACGAACTAGTTCCAAAACCACGCCAAAAAAGTACCTAACGTCCCGTCTGAAATCCTAGAAAAACAACTTTTTCGAGAATTTCTGTTGCCTGCGGCCGCTCGCAGGAAAACAACTTCGAAAAAAGCAGCTCCCGGCAGGAAAACACCATGGCTCTGAAGGACGAACTAGTTCCAAAACCACGCCAAAAAAGTGCCTAACGTCCCGTCTGAAATCCTAGAAAAACAACATTTTTCGAGAATTTCTGTTGCCTGCGCCCGCTCGCAGGAAAACAATTTCGAAAAAAGCAGCTCCCGGCAGGAAAACACCATGGCTCTGAAGGACGAACTAGTTCCAAAACCACGCCAAAAAAGTGCCTAACGTCCCTCTGAAATCCTAGAAAAACAACATAAAAGAACATAAAACAACCTTTTTCGAGAATTTCTGTTGCCTGCGGCCGCTCGCAGGAAAACAACTTCGAAAAAAGCAGCTCCCGGCAGGAAAACACCATGGCTCTGAAGGACGAACTAGTTCCAAAACCACGCCAAAAAAGTGCCTAACGTCCCGTCTGAAATCCTAGAAAAACAACATTTTCGAGAATTTCTGTTGCCTGCGCCCGCTCGCAGGAAAACAACTTCGAAAAAAACATAAAAGCAGCTCCCGGCAGGAAAACACCATGGCTCTGAAGGACGAACTAGTTCCAAAACCACGCCAAAAAAGTGCCTAACGTCCCTTCTGAAATCCTAGAGAATCCTAGATCTAGATCTCTAGATCTATCCTAGATCTAGATCTAGATCCTAGTTCGGGAATCCTTGCTAGGCCAGCTGCTTCGGCCGAATCCCCCAGAATCTCCTAAACAATATTACAGCTAGGCCTGCTGTTTCGAAGCGGTTCCGAAACAGCAAAACACCACCTAATTTCGTGCCGAAAATAACGAAAAATCGCGGCTTCGGGAATCCTTGCTAGGCCAGCTGCTTCGGCCGAATCCCCCAGAATCTCCTAAACAATATTACAGCTAGGCCTGCTGTTTCGAAGCGGTTCCGAAACAGCAAAACACCACCTAATTTCGTGCCGAAAATAACGAAAAATCGCGGCAGAAAACTACCTAACGTCCCTTCTGAAATCCTAGAGAATCCTAGATCTAGATCCAGATCCTAGATCTAGATCCAGATCCTAGTTTAGATCCTAGTTCGAGAATCCTAGCTGGGCCAGCCGTTTCAGCCGAATCCCTCAGAATCTCCGGTAGCTAGGCCAGCTGTTTCGGCCGAATCCCTAGAATCGCCTAAACAATATTACAGAAACCTGCCTAACGTCCCTTCTGAAATCCTAGAGAATCCTAGATCTAGATCTAGATCCTAGTTTAGATCCTACTTCGAGAATCCTAGCTGGGCCAACTGTTTCAGCCGAATCCCCCAGAATCTCCGGTAGCTGGGCCAGCTGTTTCGGCCGAATCCCCCAGAATCGCCTAAACAATATTATGGCTGGGCCTACTGTTTCGAAACGCTTCCGAAACAGCAAAACACCACCTAATTTCCATCTTCTTCCCTTACGCGCTCCCCCTTGCGTCGGCCGGGGTCGGCGGATATTTATTATATCATATCATATCATATTGTATTATATGATACGATATTATATTATATTATATTATATGATCTGATATGATATTATATAATATTATACTATATTATATTCTATTATATTATATTATATTATAGTCCATATTATAATAATTATTATTGTCATTATTATCTATTATCATTATCATCATTATTATAGATTATTATTATTATTATTATTTTATTATCTATAAATATATTATTTTTGTTGTTGTTGCTGTTGCTGTTGCTGTTGCTGTTGCTGTTGTTGTTGTTGTTGTTGTTGTTGTTGTTGTTGTTGTTGTTGTTCTTGTTCTTGTTCTTGTTCTTGTTCTTGTGTCGTACTTGACATGTTGTGATGGGGGTTCACTCTGCAAATCATGACATTTGTTTTTTTTCAGCTTGTTGAAGGGCCTGATTGCCCCATTCGATGGCTATCCTTGGCTCATGCCGGAAATGGACATCTACCAAACAATCCACGACATGCTGTGGAGGTTTCGGAAAACCCTTTATCCCTTACGATCGCTTTGCATGCAGGTCACATCCTTGCTTGTTGACCTAGAACGCCAAGAGTAGGTCACCTAGGTTTTGATTGATGGTAATGTGTGATGGGTGCATGCCGGCATGCTATTTGTCATTCAATTTGGTGGCACTGACACGTTTGCCAAAACACAACTATTGATGGATTTTGCGATCTCATTTAAGCCTCCACCAAGTTTTCCACTTAGTTTAATTTCCACCTGTGAGCTGCGAAACTTTGAGGGCTTTCTATTTGTGAGCTGCCGACAGCCTGGGGTTGCCATTCATCGCCAGGACAATATTTTCAGATGGATGGAGAGCCCTGGGTCCTGAATGCTCCCTGCACCGCGACCATTGAAAAGCAGCGAGCTGAGCCATCGGGGCCATCCATTGGGGCCACCTGGTTTCCATTTCAAATATTTCAAATTATTTCAAGCTTCAGATGATAGCAGTTTCCACTTGGTTTCTTTGACATATTTCACATCAGAAAAAGGCAAGAGACAGAGAAGCCTCCAATTGACCAAACAGCTGAACCAGCTCCAGCCACAGGGACCTTCCGATTTCGCCAGGTCATGGGGTGTCAATTGTGTGGCCGAACCATTGGCATAGATTTTCATAGATTTTCATAGATTTTCAGCCTAGATTGGATATGGGATATATTGGGATATGACATGATTGGATGGATTCATGCTGTTGAATGCTGAACCACCAGAAAAATTCTTGTGGGTACTCCTTTGTGGAGCCTGGCAGCGACGTTTCAAGCGACGTTCACAGGCATACGAAGGTCAGGATGCTTTGCCCTTTGACAGATGGTGAAGGTGCAGGCAGGCCCCTCAGCAGTCAATGTGTCGGTTGGGTCGTCATGGGCCAATGCCTCTGAGTTTCTACCATTTTCTACCTGGATCTTGGGATCTTCCGTCTTTTTTCGGAAGATTCCTGCGACCGGTCCCTTTCTGACTTCACATGGGCCTAATTTTTTTTCCCCAAATTCCACAGGCTGAAGTCAGAGAAGTCCCATCAGTTGATGCTGACCACAAGCTTGAACCATCAAAGGATTGCGATAGATGCACTATACTATCACGCACTTGCGATAGATAATATGAAGTGTTCATGGTGGACCAAGCATACCAAAGCATACCAAAGCCAGTTGCTGCTTATACGCCCACTGAAGTGAGTCTTTGTGATTTTTTAGTGTGTATCTTCTGCTTGGACTCGCAGGAGAATGGTCTGGAAGACAAAAGCGATCCTTCTGGGAAAAGCGTTCAGAAGGCCAGGTGGATTGTCGCAACGAAAGAGTCCCCGATGGTCACCTGGTGTTCGCAGGATCCCATGGAGAACAAGAAATGTCTGGTCCTCCACATGCAGCAGGACACTGCTTGGGAATTTCTACTGCAGCCATCTGCAGCCTGGTTCTGTTTTGGATAGGTTTGGGATATGCTGTGTTTTTCTTTTAAGTTAAATATTTTCAATGAATTTTGGAATACCAAACTAAGATCTTTTGGATCTCCTGAAACCCCCATTTGCCAGCTCCATCTGTTCAAGCGACAGTTGCATTTGGGTCAAGTACCCCCCAGTACAGGTACCTCTGGTGTCAACCTCTCTACTCGAAGCTTAGGGCGCTGAGGCTTTGTTTTCGAGATTAGCCATCCTTTCTTTTGCATGTTTCGGATGGCTTTCGTCCTCCACGGCTGACGCGGCCTATCCTTTTTTGATGGGGGGCATGGATTCGTCGGCATGAGTCCGTCCTCCCTTGTTTTGGCGCAGGTTTTTTTCCCTTCCAAGAAGGGTTTTCCCTGTGACGGCTTTGTTGGCTATTCCTATTTTCCGTTGGTGCAGCGCGCAAAGGTCCTGTATCCGATTATTCTAAGTAGGACCTGGCCATACGTGCCAAGGCCAACCACTGGATTGTGTACGTCCCTCTTGCTTCAGAAAGGAATTGCAGGGGCTGGAATCGCAAATCACATGAAAGTTCACAGTTAATTACCCACCTCCCCCCCTTGGGACATCGTCGCCATATCGTTGCAATCAGCAGCATCATCAGCCTTACTCTCCACTTCGTATCTCCCAATTCCTCGCACACCGCTCTTTCACTACACCTTCCTCATTCTCCCTCTACCTTCCCAGCTAGCTTTTGTTGTTCATTACCCCTCGGCCTCAAGCTGGGAGTGGTGATCAGTTCATTAACAGGATTTAATATGATTTAATAGAGATTTATATACCCGGTATACGGTATACCCATAATATCCCATAATAAGTTATAAGATGTTATATACACATCTAAATATATACTTGATGTTTTGACCCTAGCACATATGAATCCATGATTATCCATGGATCAATACTCCTGATGGATCTTGTGCCACCCTCGGCTCATGAGGAGAATCTGCCGCATCTTCGGTTTGACGGAAAAGAACACACGCAAAGCTGCATGCGAAATCGCAGCAGCTTGCGATTGGATGATCGACGATGAAAAAGGGACCAAAGATTTCTGCTTGGGAACTTGTTTCATTTTCCAATTCAGTTTATTTTTCTGTTTGGGATCACGATCCCGGTGAATATGGGATTCAAAAACCAAACCACCAGGATTTGCTTCAAGATCTTGGACCTGCAACAGCTGTTTGGGATTTGCATGTTGCTTTGTCCAAACATGGGGGATACCAAAAAACAGCCTCAAATTGATCAAATTGCAATTCTGATATTTTTAACGGAGAGATATGGAGAGATATGGAGAGAATGATGAAACATGATGAAACATTGAGATTTTGCTGAAGTCCATTTTCAGACTTTGGCATTGGACATTTTGCAGATAGCTTCTCCTTATTCGTGCCATGTCCCGCCATGGCCAGCATCCAGCCATGACCGGGGGACTGGGGAACAGTGCTCCGGACCGCTGCCTGGCCACCCTTTACTGGTTGCAACCCCCCCCATCAACCCCCTCGGGATGGAGATCAATTGTTAGCTTGGTATAGGATGGTATAGGTTATGATGATGCGCATTGCAAAACGTCTGCAAGTTCGGACAAGGACACCATGTTCAAGACAGAAGCTGCAGAGTTCGGACCATTTGTATCCATTTGTACGACGTGAATCTAGGTGATAGACTGACAATGTTTGAAACCTGCTCGATTGCTGCAGTTCCGTTTCATTCTGCCAGGACAACTTTTTTTCCCAGGCTGTTGAGGGGATGGGAAGTGCAGCGCGTTGATGGACTGTACTTGCTGCATCTTGTGGGTGTTGAGGTCTCATCAGGAAACATGTGACAATGTGGCTTTCTCCACATGTCAGCAAGGCTGATGACATGAACATGTAATGATGTCTGACCTGTTTAACTATGTTTAACTGGGAAAAAACTCAGCTGCTGGCTTCATCAAACATCTTCAAACATCTTGCAACTCAAGCGCATTTCGTTGACCCCTCCTGGTAGCTTTCTCCCGGCGTTCAGCCGTTCTGAAGCACCGTTCTGAAGCACCATGGCCAACCCAGCTCTCACGGCAGCCGCAGTCGATGCAGGTGTGGCTGTAAAGTTGCTGATATTGATGGCACATGAACATTGAGTTTTTTTTTTTGCGAGAGATATGATATAATATGATATAATACGATATAATATGATATAATATGATATAATTTATATATTGTATATATATATATATTAATGGGCAAAATTATGAAATGATATTCGATCCCTTGGAATTTGGTGTACCCACACCGGACTCATACATCGAGAGAGTTTCGCCAGCTCCTACAATGAGCCTCTGAACAAGACTTGAGAAACATGCAGCAAGCCGGTGGTCACTGAAGCTGTGTTGAGATTCGCCTGGTTTCTCAGGCGCAACTGCTTGGGTTTTGACCTCGACGGCATTGGTGTTCTTGATGACTGCGGGGCTTGGCTTCTTCTATGGTGGCCTGGTGCGCGACACAAACATCATCAACACCATGATGATGAGCGTGGTGTCCATGGGAATCGTGACTCTGACCTGGGTTGTCTTTGGCTTCTCATGGGCATTTGGAGACAATGGTTCCACTGGATTCGGCATGTTCGTTGGCAACTTCGACTACAGCCTTTGGATGGATTTGGACATGAAGATGTGGGGTGACTCCGGCCTCCCAGCTTTGGTGTTCGCTGCCTTCCAGATGACCTTTGCCATCATTTCTTCTGCAATCATTTCCGGCTCGTTGGTGGAGCGCATGCGTTTCAGTGCTTACTGCATCATGCTTGCTCTGTGGTCCCTTCTGATCTACGCACCTTTGTGCCACTGGGTTTGGGGCCCTGGCGGCTGGATTGGTGAGATGGGAGCTCTGGACTTTGCGGGTGGAACTGTGGTTCACATCAGCTCCGGTGTGTCCGGCCTTGTTGCCGGTGGCATCCTTGGACCACGCAGGCACGTGGAGAAGGAGTTGGGCCCTGCCAACGTCCCTTTCGTGATCTTGGGTGGCTGCCTACTTTGGTTCGGCTGGTTGGGATTCAACGGCGGTTCTGCTCTGTCCGTCACAGACGGAGTGGCAGCCCGTGCAGTGGCCACAACTTTCGTGGCTTCAGGCTCATCCATGCTGACCTGGTTGGCCCTGGAGCGCGTCTTGAAGGGCAAGTCTACCAGTGTCGGAGCATCTGTTGGTGCTGTTGCAGGCAGGGAGTCCTTCTTCCACAGTGGATTCCACAGATCTTGATTTTTGTACAGTTCTTCACCTTATTTGCATAGCTTTCCGATGCTTTCCGTATTGTTTCTGTTGCCATACCGCTAATGGCCGCTAATCACCTTTAGTAAGAACTTGTCTAGGAGGGTCCCAGCAGTTCTCACCTAACCCCCTGGTCATTTTCTGCTTGTATTTTTTGAAAGGGGAGCCATTTTTATACTTATTAGACTTATGCTTTTCTGCTTCTGTGCTTTTTTGCTTCTCTGCTTTTCTGCCGTTCGTCTTTTTGCTTCTCTGTTTTCTGTTTTTCAGCTTTATTGATCTCTTTTCTGTTTAATATGTGTTTCTTGTTCTATATTGTTTTTCTGCCTTTCGGCTTCCTTGCGAATGACAGCAACAACAGCAACAGAAACAACCACAACCCGCAACGACGGACCAAAACTGGAACGAAGTTGTCGCTGGGTTCGACCGTGAGGCCCAGAAAGGTCAAGGCCCTTAAGGTTTCACAATGCTTCCAATATCGCAGAAATAGAAGGTCAAAACTCCACAATGTCCCATTCTAAATTGGAAGGTTGGACTCTCACAATGCATCTACCTTGCAAGTTCCACAATACTGCATATACATGCAAAATGGAAGGTTGAAGTTTCAAAAAGCTGCAAATATCATGTTCCAAATGCTGCAAATGCCCTTGCAAATGCCATGCAAAATGAGAGGTTCTATCTCCACACTGAAGGTTGACGTCCCGCAATGCTGAAAATATGGCAAATACCATGCAAACTTTTTTTTAAAAACTTCTCTGCTATTTTGGGTCTCGCATTCGACAGCTTTCTATCTCCTTGGCTTTACAAAGCTTCTCCAGCGACACCACCGCCAATAACAACAGCAACAGCAACTGCAACAAGACTAGCAACAGACAAGAATCCACAACCAACAACCAACAACAGCTTGCAAATACCATGCAACATACGAGATTTCATCTAAGGTTCCAACTCAAAAATGTTGCAAATAGCTTGCATAATTTATCAAAATGGAAGCTTGCAGCTCCAAAGTGTTGCAAGTAGCATGCAAAAATGGAAGGTTTCAGGTCCAAAATGTTGCAAATGGAAGGTTTCAGCTTCCAAATGCTGCAAGTAGCATGCAAAATGGAAGGTTCCAGCCCCAAAATGCTGCAGATAGCATGTATAAGTGTATAAGTATAAGTATAAGGTGTCAGTTCCAAAATGCTGCAACTAGTATGCAAACAAGAAAGTTCCAGCTTTCACATGCTGCCATGAGCACGGGAAACACGTACAGCCAGAAATCCAAAAACATGAATTAAGAGAAACCACATCCATCAACAATTTCATAACCCTTTTTGGTAATGGACATGACTCATGACAAGTAACAAGCAAATCCCTGCATGCTTGTCTTGAAACTAGCAGGCCTGGTGTGCATCACACCTGCAGCCGGCTTCGTGACACCCGGCTGGAGCATTGCCATTGGTGCCTTGGGAGCTCCTTGGTGTTTTGCCACTGTGGAGATTGTTAACAGGATCAACTTGGTGGATGACACTCTTGATGCGTTCGGCTTGCATGGTTCGGGTGGCATCGCAGGTGCCATCTTGACCGGCATCTTTGCAGTGGACGGTGGCCTCATCTACAGCGGTAGCTTCTTGCTGCTGGGCAAGCAGATTGCTGGTGCCATGGCTGGCGTGGCTTTCTCTGCTGTGGGCACTGCCATCATTGTCGGAGTCATGAAGCTGCTGCTGAAGCTGCGCATTCCCGAAGAGCACGAGGTTGGTGGTGTTGATCAACACACTCATGGTGAGAGCTACCACAGTCCGATCAAGAAGTACCCTGCAGGTGGCCGCATGACCGACTCAGAATCGGAGGAGTCGTCTGATGCAGTGTGCTGAGATGCAAAATCTGCTCGCGTTTAACGCAATGTAGCACTGCGCATAATTCGTTGCACTGTCCACGAGGATGGATCCAACAGTGCGAAGTTAAAGGTTTTCCATTTGTACTGTACGGCAATGACACGTCTTCCGAAAGGTAGACCGCGTGGGGTCTTGGATTACTTGGAGCTGGCAAACCCGAGCTGAACATGATGAACAGATATGAACAGTGATTCTACGTCGGATAATCCATGACCTGCAATGAATATATGATATATGAATAATCCATGAAATGCTATATTGGTATCATTTGGATTCATTTGGATTCATTTGGTACATCTTCCAGTCGCAGCTTTGTGGTACGGTCAGTTAGATAACTGCCACGGTGACACTCCGTTTTTGGTTGGAGACCGTCCGGAAGGCACCAGCCGAAACGTCGCGGCCAGCGACCTGCTCAGCACAGCCATCGGCTCGTTGAGAAAAGGTCGCTTGAAGCATGCCCCTTCGTTTCCCTCGGGTGTTGTGCCTGGTTCTTCTGGCCGTAGACTGGTCCAGGATTTCCAGCACCGCCCTTATTTCCCCCCTCGCTTTGGTTTGCGGTGCTGCACTCCTACTTCCCCTTTCCCTTTCTTGTCCTTTGTGCATGGGGGCTGCTGACGGTTTGAGTGTTGCAAAAGGAAGGTGTCGCATCTTGATCCGCAAATGACTGAAGCCGTGCTATCATTCCAAAGGTTTGTTGATTTTGACTTTTTGACTTCAATTGCGGTCAATGGCAATCTTCTCTGCGTTTGACAGCTGTAGAGTTGCCCCGTTCAGGTCCCTCAGTATTTGTTGTAGCCAGTTTTGCTCCAAGCCGCAGTGCCCGTGTTATCAGTGTTGTAGCTTTTTCCCACAACCTGCCAAAAGCAATGGCCAACCCAGCTCTGACAGAAGATGCCGTGAGCCCAGGCGCAGTTGCTTGGGTCTTGACCTCAACGGCATTCGTGTTCTTAATGACTGCGGGGCTTGGCTTCTTCTATGGTGGCCTGGTGCGCGACACAAACATTATCAACACCATGATGATGAGCGTGGTGTCCATGGGAATCGTGACTCTGACCTGGGTTGTCTTTGGCTTCTCATGGGCATTTGGAGACAATGGTTCCACTGGATTCGGCATGTTCGTTGGCAACTTCGACTACAGCCTTTGGATGGATTTGGACATGAAGATGTGGGGTGACTCCGGCCTCCCAGCTTTGGTGTTCGCTGCCTTCCAGATGACCTTTGCCATCATTTCTTCTGCAATCATTTCCGGCTCGTTGGTGGAGCGCATGCGTTTCAGTGCTTACTGCATCATGCTTGCTCTGTGGTCCCTTCTGATCTACGCACCTTTGTGCCACTGGGTTTGGGGCTCTGGCGGCTGGATTGGTGAGATGGGAGCTCTGGACTTTGCGGGTGGAACTGTGGTTCACATTAGCTCCGGTGTGTCCGGCCTTGTTGCCGGTGGCATCCTTGGACCACGCAGGCACGTGGAGAAGGATTTGGGTCCTGCCAACGTCCCTTTCGTGATCTTGGGTGGTTGCCTCCTTTGGTTCGGCTGGTTGGGATTCAACGGCGGTTCTGCTCTGTCCGTCACGGATGGAGTTGCAGCCCGTGCGGTGGCCACCACTTTTGTGGCGTCAGCCTCATCCATGCTGACCTGGTTGGCCCTGGAGCGCATCTTGAAGGGCAAGTCTACCAGTGTCGGAGCATCTGTTGGTGCTGTTGCAGGCAGGGGGCCTTAAGTCTTGTTGTATCTGAATCGGCTTGCACGCTCTTCCACAGATCTTCATTTTGGCTGGTTCTTTACCCTTCGACTTGAATAATTTTAACTTTTTAACATTTTAAGATATGTTGAATATTTTTGAATCTATTTTAGATGATTGAGATGATCACCTGGTACCTTTCTGTAGCTTTTATTGACTTCAAAGCACATACACCTTGTGAGAACTGTTTGAGAAGTGTTCGCCGTTTTTGTGTGGGACAATGCGCTAGGCCTGGTGTGCATCACACCTGCAGCCGGCTTCGTGACTCCTGGCTGGAGCATCGCAATTGGTGCCTTGGGAGCTCCTTGGTGTTTTGCCACTGTGGAGCTGATGAACAAGATCAACTTGGTGGATGACACTCTTGATGCGTTCGGCTTGCATGGTTCGGGTGGCATCGCAGGTGCCATCTTGACCGGCATTTTTGCAGTGGAAGATGGCCTCATCTACAGCGGTAGCTTCTTGCTGCTGGGCAAGCAGATTGCCGGTGCCCTGGCTGGTGTGGCTTTCTCTGCTGTGGGCACTGCCATCATTGTCGGAGTCATGAAGCTGCTGCTGAAGCTGCGCATTCCCGAAGAGCACGAGGTTGGTGGTGTTGATCAACACACTCACGGTGAGAGCTACCACAGCCCCGTGAAGCAGTACCCCAAGGCCAAGTCTTCAGATGTTTCGGAGTCAACTGAGCAGCCATCTGAGACAGTGTGAACAAGTGTGTGGTGCAGTCGGCGTCCAGAAACACAGTTTTCTGCATCAGTCTTGTTTCTTTTACTTTTTTTTTGGGGGGGAATATAAATATAAATATATATATATAAGGGGCGGGGGGGGGGCAAGGGTTGGTTCCGACCTTCTTCTGAAGAACTCCACTATGCCCAATTTTTCGGCGCGTTGCCGTTCAAGTTGGAGTCCAGAAACCCGATTTTCTGTATCTATCTTGTTTGTTTTTCTTTTTTTTTTTTTTGGGGGGGGGTAGTGTGTAACGTAGCGGTGTGGCCGGTATGGGGTTGGGGTCGGTTTCGCGATATATAGAGTTAGAGCTCATATGGAGCTAACATAGAGCCAATGATTAATGAGTTCTCACCTACGACACAGACACGATAAACTACGACAAGAGCCAGGCAAAGCCTGGCGAAATTCAATCAGTCCACGAGGATGGACAATTTTACTTGCATGTTTACGCATAGATTGGGAGCTTCTTGGACAGTCACTTGGCATGCCAGAAGCTTTCAGCATGAGGCACTTAGCCACTGTCTTGAGACGCAGGTTCTACAAGTAAGGACTAGTAAGGAGCTATTTGATGGGATTTGCATGGAAGACAACTTGAACTTGGTATAACTTGGTTAATTATCTTGATATTATCTTGCTTGTTCTTGGTTCATCGGCACTTGTGAGTCCGTCTTGAGACTTTCCAAAGAAGGTTGGAGACCATGCAGATGGGTTGGAGACCATTGGGCTCGCAAGCCAACAAGCCAACTAGAGCTTGGTCGAGTTTGAGGCGAACCAGCCAAAAATGTTTCGCGCGTAGCCGTGGGTTGCAAGGGGTCACAAGTTAGACTGAAGCTCCGTTTATCCGAAAATCTTTCTAATGATCCAAACATGCTATCGAATGGTTATGTAGAGCATTGCAGAGCCAAGTTCTTTCCTGATATTTTGGCATGTTATGGCACAGGTTTCTGTGGAACTTTGCTGCGCTGATACGCAGCTGCACGACTTTGAAGGTCTTGGCAGGCGCTGGTGACAGTTGAGTGTTGCAAAAGGAAGATGTCGCTTTTGATCCACCAACAAGTGAAGCTATGCTCTCATTCCAAAACAGAACCGACTCAGGATCAAGATATTTGATGATATTTGCATGTGTTTGAATTCAAGTCCTTGCACGATCTGCTATTGCAGCTAGTCACTACATGATGCCAGTTGCTGCATTTGTTGGCATCGAAGCCAGTTTTGCTCCAAGCCGCAGTGCCCGTGTTATCAGTGTTGTAGCTTTTTCCCACAACCTGCCAAAAGCAATGGCCAACCCAGCTCTGACAGAAGATGCCGTGAGCCCAGGCGCAGTTGCTTGGGTCTTGACCTCAACGGCATTCGTGTTCTTAATGACTGCGGGGCTTGGCTTCTTCTATGGTGGCCTGGTGCGCGACACAAACATCATCAACACCATGATGATGAGCGTGGTGTCCATGGGAATCGTGACTCTGACCTGGGTTGTCTTTGGCTTCTCATGGGCATTTGGAGACAATGGTTCCACTGGATTCGGCATGTTCGTTGGCAACTTCGACTACAGCCTTTGGATGGATTTGGACATGAAGATGTGGGGTGACTCCGGCCTCCCAGCTTTGGTGTTCGCTGCCTTCCAGATGACCTTTGCCATCATTTCTTCTGCAATCATTTCCGGCTCGTTGGTGGAGCGCATGCGTTTCAGTGCTTACTGCATCATGCTCGCTCTGTGGTCCCTTCTGATCTACGCACCTTTGTGCCACTGGGTTTGGGGCCCTGGCGGCTGGATTGGTGAGATGGGAGCTTTGGACTTCGCCGGTGGAACTGTGGTTCACATCAGCTCCGGTGTGTCCGGCCTTGTTGCCGGTGGCATCCTTGGACCACGCAGGCACGTGGAGAAGGATTTGGGCCCTGCCAACGTCCCTTTCGTGATCTTGGGCGGCTGCCTCCTTTGGTTCGGCTGGTTGGGATTCAACGGCGGTTCTGCTCTGTCTGTCACAGATGGAGTGGCAGCCCGTGCAGTGGCCACAACTTTCGTGGCGTCAGCCTCATCCATGCTGACCTGGTTGGCCCTGGAGCGCATCTTGAAGGGCAAGTCTACCAGTGTTGGAGCATCTGTTGGTGCTGTTGCAGGCAGGGGGCCTCAAGTCTTGTTGTATCTGAGTCGGCTTGCATTTTCTTCCACAGATCTTAATTTTGGCTGGTTCTTTACCCTTCGACTTGAATAATTTTAACTTTTTAACATTTTAAGATATGTTGAATATTTTTGAATCTATTTGAGATGATTGAGATGATCACCTGGTACCTTTCTGTAGCTTTATTTGCTTCAAAGCACATGCACCTTGTGAGAACTGTTTGAGAAGTGTTCGCCGTTTTTGTGTGGGACAATGCGCTAGGCCTGGTGTGCATCACACCTGCAGCCGGCTTCGTGACTCCTGGCTGGAGCATCGCAATTGGTGCCTTGGGAGCTCCTTGGTGTTTCGCTACTGTGGAGCTGATGAACAAGATCAACTTGGTGGATGACACTCTTGATGCGTTCGGCTTGCATGGTTCGGGCGGCATCGCAGGTGCCATCTTGACCGGCATTTTTGCAGTGGAAGATGGCCTCATCTACAGCGGTAGCTTCTTGCTGCTGGGCAAGCAGATTGCCGGTGCCCTGGCTGGTGTGGCTTTCTCTGCTGTGGGCACTGCCATCATTGTCGGAGTCATGAAGCTGCTGCTGAAGCTGCGCATTCCCGAAGAGCACGAGGTTGGTGGTGTTGATCAACACACTCACGGTGAGAGCTACCACAGCCCCGTGAAGCAGTACCCGAAGGCCAAGTCTTCAGATGTTTCGGAGTCCACTGAGCAGCCATCTGAGACAGTGTGAACAAGTGCAGAGAGCATAATATATAGAGTTAGAGCTCATATGGAGCTAACATAGAGCCAATGATTAATGAGTTCTCACCTACGACACAGACACGATAAACTACGACAAGAGCCAGGCAAAGCCTGGCGAAATTCAATCAGTCCACGAGGATGGACAATTTTACTTGCATGTTTACGCATAGATTGGGAGCTTCTTGGACAGTCACTTGGCATGCCAGAAGCTTTCAGCATGAGGCACTTAGCCACTGTCTTGAGACGCAGGTTCTACAAGTAAGGACTAGTAAGGAGCTATTTGATGGGATTTGCATGGAAGACAACTTGAACTTGGTATAACTTGGTTAATTATCTTGATATTATCTTGCTTGTTCTTGGTTCATCGGCACTTGTGAGTCCGTCTTGAGACTTTCCAAAGAAGGTTGGAGACCATGCAGATGGGTTGGAGACCATTGTGCAACTTCTGAGCTGCACTCGGCATGACAAGCCAACAAGCCAACTAGAGCTTGGTCGAGTTTGAGGCGAACCAGCCAAAAATGTTTCGCACGTAGCCGTGGGTTGCAAGCTCTGTTTATCCGAAAATCTTTCCAACGGATCCAAACATGCCATCGAAATCCATCGAAACCTGTGCCATAACATGCCATCGAATGGGCAAATTATGACGGTTCTGGCATGTTATGGCACAGGTTTCTGTGGAACTTCGCTGCGCTGATGCGCGGCTGCACGACGTTGAAGGTCTTGGCAGGCGCTGGTGACGGTTTGAGTGTTGCAACAGGAAGATGTCGCTTTTGATCCGCCAACAACTGAAGCTATGCGCTCATTCCAAAAAAGGACTGACTCAGGATCAAGATACTTGCAGTATTTGATATTTGCATGTGTTTGAATTCAAGTCCTTGCACTATCTGCTATTGCAGCTAGTCACTACATGATGCCAGTTGCTGCATTTGTTGGCATCGAAGCCAGTTTTGCTCCAAGCCGCAGTGCCCGTGTTATCAGTGTTGTAGCTTCTTCCCACAACCTGCCAAAAGCAATGGCCAACCCAGCTCTGACAGAAGATGCTGTGAGCCCAGGTGCGGTTGCTTGGGTCTTGACCTCAACGGCATTCGTGTTCTTAATGACTGCGGGGCTTGGCTTCTTCTATGGTGGCCTGGTGCGCGACACAAACATCATCAACACCATGATGATGAGCGTGGTGTCCATGGGAATCGTGACTCTGACCTGGGTTGTCTTTGGCTTCTCATGGGCATTTGGAGACAATGGTTCCACTGGATTCGGCATGTTCGTTGGCAACTTCGACTACAGCCTTTGGATGGATTTGGACATGAAGATGTGGGGTGACTCCGGCCTCCCAGCTTTGGTGTTCGCTGCCTTCCAGATGACCTTTGCCATCATTTCTTCTGCAATCATTTCCGGCTCGTTGGTGGAGCGCATGCGTTTCAGTGCCTACTGCATCATGCTTGCTCTGTGGTCCCTTCTGATCTACGCACCTTTGTGCCACTGGGTTTGGGGCCCTGGCGGCTGGATTGGTGAGATGGGAGCTCTGGACTTTGCGGGTGGAACTGTGGTTCACATCAGCTCCGGTGTGTCCGGCCTTGTTGCCGGTGGCATCCTTGGACCACGCAGGCACGTGGAGAAGGATTTGGGCCCTGCCAACGTCCCTTTCGTGATCTTGGGCGGTTGCCTCCTTTGGTTCGGCTGGTTGGGATTCAATGGCGGTTCTGCGTTGTCCGTGACAGACGGAGTTGCAGCCCGTGCAGTGGCCACCACTTTCGTGGCTTCGGCCTCATCCATGCTGACATGGTTGGCCCTGGAGCGCATCTTGAAGGGCAAGTCTACCAGTGTCGGAGCATCTGTTGGTGCTGTTGCAGGCAGGGGGCCTTAAGTCTTGTTGTATCTGAGTCGGCTTGCATGTTCTTCCACAGATCTTAATTTTGGCTGGTTCTTTACCCTCCGACTTGAATAATTTTAACTTTTTAACATTTTAAGATATGTTGAATATTTTTGAACCTATTTGAGATGATTGAGATGATCACCTGGTACCTTTCTGTAGCTTTATTTGCTTCAAAGCACATACACCTTGTGAGAACTGTTTGAGAAGTGTTCGCCGTTTTTGTGTGGGACAATGCGCTAGGCCTGGTGTGCATCACACCTGCAGCCGGCTTTGTGACTCCTGGCTGGAGCATCGCAATTGGTGCCTTGGGAGCTCCTTGGTGTTTCGCTACTGTGGAGCTGATGAACAAGATCAACTTGGTGGATGACACTCTTGATGCGTTCGGCTTGCATGGTTCGGGTGGCATCGCAGGTGCCATCTTGACCGGCATTTTTGCAGTGGAAGATGGCCTCATCTACAGCGGTAGCTTCTTGCTGCTGGGCAAGCAGATTGCCGGTGCCCTGGCTGGTGTGGCTTTCTCTGCTGTGGGCACTGCCATCATTGTCGGAGTCATGAAGCTGCTGCTGAAGTTGCGCATTCCCGAAGAGCACGAGGTTGGTGGTGTTGATCAACACACTCACGGTGAGAGCTACCACAGCCCCGTGAAGCAGTACCCCAAGGCCAAGTCTTCAGATGTTTCGGAGTCCACTGAGCAGCCATTTGAGACAGTGTGAACAAGTGCAGAGAGCATAATATATAGAGTTAGAGCTCATATGGAGCTAACATAGAGCCAATGATTAATGAGTTCTCACCTACGACACAGACACGATAAACTACGACAAGAGCCAGGCAAAGCCTGGCGAAATTCAATCAGTCCACGAGGATGGACAATTTTACTTGCATGTTTACGCATAGATTGGGAGCTTCTTGGACAGTCACTTGGCATGCCAGAAGCTTTCAGCATGAGGCACTTAGCCACTGTCTTGAGACGCAGGTTCTACAAGTAAGGACTAGTAAGGAGCTATTTGATGGGATTTGCATGGAAGACAGCCACTTGTCTTGAGACGCAGGTTCTACAAGTAAGGACTAGTAAGGAGCTATTTGATGGGATTTGCATGGAAGACAACTTGAACATACTTGAACTTGGTATAACTTGGTTAATTATCTTGGTTGTTCTTGGTTCATCGGCACTTGTGAGTCCGTCTTGAGACTTTCCAAAGAAAGTTGGAGACCACGCAGATGGGTTGGAGACCATTGGGCATGACAAGCCAACAAGCCAACTAGAGCTTGGTCGAGTTTGAGGCGAACCAGCCAAAAATGTTTCGCGCGTAGCCGTGGGTTGCAAGGGGTCACAAGTTAGACTGAAGCTCCGTTTATCCGAAAATCTTTCCAACGGATCCAAACATGCTATCGAATGGTTTTGTAGAGCATTGCAGAGCCAAGTTCTTTCCTGAAATTTTGGCATGTTGTGGCACAGGTTTCTGTGGAACTTTGCTGCGCTGAAGCGCAGCTGCACGACTTTGAAGGTCTTGGCAGGCGCTGGTGACAGTTTGAGTGTTGCAAAAGGAAGGTGTCGCTTTTGATCCGCCAACAAGTGAAGCTATGCTCTCATTCCAAAACAGAACCGACTCAGGATCAGATATTTGATATTTGCATGTGTTTGAATTCAAGTCCTTGCACTATCTGCTATTGCAGCTAGTCACTACATGATGCCAGTCGCTGCATTTGTTGGCATCGAAGCCAGTTTTGCTCCAAGCCGCAGTGCCCGTGTTATCAGTGTTGTAGCTTCTTCCCACAACCTGCCAAAAGCAATGGCCAACCCAGCTCTGACAGAAGATGCTGTGAGCCCAGGCGCGGTTGCTTGGGTCTTGACCTCAACGGCATTCGTGTTCTTAATGACTGCGGGGCTTGGCTTCTTCTATGGTGGCCTGGTGCGCGACACAAACATCATCAACACCATGATGATGAGCGTGGTGTCCATGGGAATCGTGACTCTGACCTGGGTTGTCTTTGGCTTCTCATGGGCATTTGGAGACAATGGTTCCACTGGATTCGGCATGTTCGTTGGCAACTTCGACTACAGCCTTTGGATGGATTTGGACATGAAGATGTGGGGTGACTCCGGCCTCCCAGCTTTGGTGTTCGCTGCCTTCCAGATGACCTTTGCCATCATTTCTTCTGCAATCATTTCCGGCTCGTTGGTGGAGCGCATGCGTTTCAGTGCTTACTGCATCATGCTTGCTCTGTGGTCCCTTCTGATCTACGCACCTTTGTGCCACTGGGTTTGGGGCCCTGGCGGCTGGATTGGTGAGATGGGAGCTTTGGACTTCGCCGGTGGAACTGTGGTTCACATCAGCTCCGGTGTGTCCGGCCTTGTTGCCGGTGGCATCCTTGGACCACGCAGGCACGTGGAGAAGGATTTGGGCCCTGCCAACGTCCCTTTCGTGATCTTGGGCGGCTGCCTCCTTTGGTTCGGCTGGTTGGGATTCAACGGCGGTTCTGCTCTGTCCGTCACAGATGGAGTGGCAGCCCGTGCAGTGGCCACCACTTTCGTGGCTTCAGCCTCATCCATGCTGACCTGGTTGGCCCTGGAGCGCATCTTGAAGGGCAAGTCTACCAGTGTTGGAGCATCTGTTGGTGCTGTTGCAGGCAGGGGGCCTCAAGTCTTGTTGTATCTGAGTCGGCTTGCATGTTCTTCCACAGATCTTAATTTTGGCTGGTTCTTTACCCTTCGACTTGAATAATTTTAACTTTTTAACATTTTAAGATATGTTGAATATTTTTGAATCTATTTGAGATGATTGAGATGATCACCTGGTACCTTTCTGTAGCTTTATTTGCTTCAAAGCACATGCACCTTGTGAGAACTGTTTGAGAAGTGTTCGCCGTTTTTGTGTGGGACAATGCGCTAGGCCTGGTGTGCATCACACCTGCAGCCGGCTTCGTGACTCCTGGCTGGAGCATCGCAATTGGTGCCTTGGGAGCTCCTTGGTGTTTCGCTACTGTGGAGCTGATGAACAAGATCAACTTGGTGGATGACACTCTTGATGCGTTCGGCTTGCATGGTTCGGGTGGCATCGCAGGTGCCATCTTGACCGGCATTTTTGCAGTGGAAGATGGCCTCATCTACAGCGGTAGCTTCTTGCTGCTGGGCAAGCAGATTGCCGGTGCCCTGGCTGGTGTGGCTTTCTCTGCTGTGGGCACTGCCATCATTGTCGGAGTCATGAAGCTGCTGCTGAAGCTGCGCATTCCCGAAGAGCACGAGGTTGGTGGTGTTGATCAACACACTCACGGTGAGAGCTACCACAGCCCCGTGAAGCAGTACCCCAAGGCCAAGTCTTCAGATGTTTCGGAGTCCACTGAGCAGCCATCTGAGACAGTGTGAACAAGTGCAGAGAGCATATATAGAGTTAGAGCTCATATGGAGCTAACATAGAGCCAATGATTAATGAGTTCTCACCTACGACACAGACACGATAAACTACGACAAGAGCCAGGCAAAGCCTGGCGAAATTCAATCAGTCCACGAGGATGGACAATTTTACTTGCATGTTTACGCATAGATTGGGAGCTTCTTGGACAGTCACTTGGCATGCCAGAAGCTTTCATAAGCTTTCAGCATGAGGCACTTAGCCACTGTCTTGAGACGCAGGTTCTACAAGTAAGGACTAGTAAGGAGCTATTTGATGGGATTTGCATGGAAGACAACTTGAACTTGGTATAACTTGGTTAATTATCTTGATATTATCTTGCTTGTTCTTGGTTCATCGGCACTTGTGAGTCCGTCTTGAGACTTTCCAAAGAAGGTTGGAGACCATGCAGATGGGTTGGAGACCATTGTGCAACTTCTGAGCTGCACTCGGCATGACAAGCCAACAAGCCAACTAGAGCTTGGTCGAGTTTGAGGCGAACCAGCCAAAAATGTTTCGCGCGTAGCCGTGGGTTGCAAGGGGTCACAAGTTAGACTGAAGCTCCGTTTATCCGAAAATCTTTCTAATGATCCAAACATGCTATCGAATGGTTATGCAGAGCATTGCAGAGCCAAGTTCTTTCCTGATATTTTGGCATGTTATGGCACAGGTTTCTGTGGGACTTTGCTGCGCTGATACGCAGCTGCACGACTTTGAAGGTCTTGGCAGGCGCTGGTGACAGTTGAGTGTTGCAACAGGAAGATGTCGCTTTTGATCCACCAACAAGTGAAGCTATGCTCTCATTCCAAAACAGAACCGACTCAGGATCAAGATATTTGATGATATTTGCATGTGTTTGAATTCAAGTCCTTGCACGATCTGCTATTGCAGCTAGTCACTACATGATGCCAGTCGCTGCATTTGTTGGCATCGAAGCCAGTTTTGCTCCAAGCCGCAGTGCCCGTGTTATCAGTGTTGTAGCTTTTTCCCACAACCTGCCAAAAGCAATGGCCAACCCAGCTCTGACAGAAGATGCCGTGAGCCCAGGCGCAGTTGCTTGGGTCTTGACCTCAACGGCATTCGTGTTCTTAATGACTGCGGGGCTTGGCTTCTTCTATGGTGGCCTGGTGCGCGACACAAACATCATCAACACCATGATGATGAGCGTGGTGTCCATGGGAATCGTGACTCTGACCTGGGTTGTCTTTGGCTTCTCATGGGCATTTGGAGACAATGGTTCCACTGGATTCGGCATGTTCGTTGGCAACTTCGACTACAGCCTTTGGATGGATTTGGACATGAAGATGTGGGGTGACTCCGGCCTCCCAGCTTTGGTGTTCGCTGCCTTCCAGATGACCTTTGCCATCATTTCTTCTGCAATCATTTCCGGCTCCTTGGTGGAGCGCATGCGTTTCAGTGCTTACTGCATCATGCTTGCTCTGTGGTCCCTTCTGATCTACGCACCTTTGTGCCACTGGGTTTGGGGCCCTGGCGGCTGGATTGGTGAGATGGGAGCTTTGGACTTCGCCGGTGGAACTGTGGTTCACATTAGCTCCGGTGTGTCCGGCCTTGTTGCCGGTGGCATCCTTGGACCACGCAGGCACGTGGAGAAGGATTTGGGTCCTGCCAACGTCCCTTTCGTGATCTTGGGTGGTTGCCTCCTTTGGTTCGGCTGGTTGGGATTCAATGGCGGTTCTGCGTTGTCCGTGACAGACGGAGTGGCAGCCCGTGCAGTGGCCACAACTTTCGTGGCGTCAGCCTCATCCATGCTGACCTGGTTGGCCCTGGAGCGCATCTTGAAGGGCAAGTCTACCAGTGTCGGAGCATCTGTTGGTGCTGTTGCAGGCAGGGGGCCTTAAGTCTTGTTGTATCTGAATCGGCTTGCACGCTCTTCCACAGATCTTAATTTTGGCTGGTTCTTTACCCTTCGACTTGAATAATTTTAACTTTTTAACATTTTAAGATATGTTGAATATTTTTGAATCTATTTGAGATGATTGAGATGATCACCTGGTACCTTTCTGTAGCTTTATTTGCTTCAAAGCACATACACCTTGTGAGAACTGTTTGAGAAGTGTTCGCCGTTTTTGTGTGGGACAATGCGCTAGGCCTGGTGTGCATCACACCTGCAGCCGGCTTCGTGACTCCTGGCTGGAGCATCGCAATTGGTGCCTTGGGAGCTCCTTGGTGTTTCGCTACTGTGGAGCTGATGAACAAGATCAACTTGGTGGATGACACTCTTGATGCGTTCGGCTTGCATGGTTCGGGTGGCATCGCAGGTGCCATCTTGACCGGCATTTTTGCAGTGGAAGATGGCCTCATCT